AGTTTGAAATAATTGTGAGGATGACTCCTTGTTTTTTCATGTGCGAAATAACAAGGGCGGTCAACGTTTCTATAGTGAGGTCGCAGTGGACCATATGAGTCATATATCCTTCACATTACGTGTGGAAAAGATTAGACTTAGTCCAACGCCGAAGTTTTGGAAGATTAGCCGTTTTCACGAATCGTTTAAATCTTTAGCGCATCCTTTTCAAAATGCTGGCTTCCATATACGCAAGGTTAAGGGTTTGGATCGATCTGTACCAGGGAAAAAGATATGTAACACCTTGGAGGTTGAATTACCCAACAGTTTTTGTATGTAGGGTTTACCGCTTATTTCTATCAAGTACTCGAATTCGGAGGTCACAGTAAATACTGCTTCACCACATAAACTGCATATCTATTTGATTCTTTTCAATGGAATTTGTGTTGTCGGCTTAGCTTTATCACCTCAAATTCCGTTGTTTATCGAGTTGGGGCTCTCAGAGAATGTTGCCATATCGTCTACTTTCACGAGGTTAAATTTCTCCTAGCTATGAACAATTTTTGTTTGTTGTGACATTTCATTGTAAAAAGGTGTGTATTAATATTTGTAGCGGGTAAATAACGTTCTAATTGGAAATAAAGTGGTTTTGTCTGCGATTCAAAAGATCTTGGAAAAGTGAGTTTCAAACGACGCTTGATACTTAAATGCCAGTGTTTTCTTCTCATTTTCAAGATTTTTTATGTGACATTTTAATCTGAGCTATGTTCTTTGTTGTTTATTATCATTTATTTGAGAAGATCTTTGATAGGTATGTGCTGAAGATATGAGCAATAATAACGGGCTTGAATGGTTTCGCACAGTAGTTTATGATCGGCTGAACAGAGAGCTTGAGGAAGTGCTAAACCGTCGAGAAGAGATCCTTCGTGAGCTTCAGGAATATGCTTCTTTGCTTCTGGTTGTCCGTAACTTGCAGGTACGTTGTGTTCTACAGGTACTGTCCATTTACTATATAGCTGTTGTGCTCTACAAGGTTTTCTGCAGACAGTTTTGATACGACTGGTTATAAGACTACCTAGTACCTTTATTGTTCGTGCAGTACGCTGAATCACCCAGAAAGTGTTATCTTCTGTGCATTCAGTAATCGGTAATACAGAGCTCCCTCAATGGCAATTAACGAATCGATTTCATTGTGGCATTGTCACTGGGTGACTTTCTACGAATACCACTTAGAATTCGGTGTTCTGAGATACTGTCGGTGATTTGGTGAATATCATTGGTAAGACGCTGACACAATATAGGGAGACGGTAGATCTTTCAATTCTTCATTCAACGTCCAGCGAAGAGAACACGGTCTACCTGAACTTCATCAGACCTTTGTGAATTGTGAGTGGCGGGAATAAGCAATGAAAGATCTGACCTTTATTTCCGTAAAAGATCATTCATTTTGAGCTTAAAGCTTCAGATGGATGGCGTATCTTTCATAATGTAGATTTCTAATCTTCAAACTCGTGTGCTGAGTGCTAGGAATGAAGTCTTACCTACTAAAATACTACTTGTATTACGCAGGTCCTTATTGTCTAGGTTAGCCCATAACTATGACATCTCACTTTATTGCTTCTCAGATCCTTAGTGGGTGCTTTTAACCATCAATTTTAACCAATTCTACGTCAATTAAATGGCTACCTTTATTAATACCTTCATAGTAATTTTGGCGCGCGTGTAGCGCCGTGGTTAGAGGTTCCTTAGAATACGCATGTGATCGTTGGCTCGTTCCCCGCTAGGAGCCTATCAAGCCTTTCATCCCATTATGTTGGCAGATTGGTCCTACACCTGCCTAGGAGTGTAGCAGCACTGACGTGATGCACTGAAAAACCACGTGAAGTCATTGGGCCCAATATGCATTCAATTCATCTCTGCTGAAGGCAAATGCATAGCGCATGCCTCAGGGATGGTTCAACGCGGATAGCTTTATCCTCTGTCCTTCATAGTATAATAATGTCATAGCAAGCATAACTCCGGTAAAATTACTTTTTTTATTAGTTACGGTGCAGTAGTATGCATGTTTCATGGTTTTATTTGGTCTCCACGAATTTTATACATCAATTTTTTACAAGCTTTTAGTGCAACGACAACAATAAAATCAATATTCGTGCATCACTTGGATATCAGTTGTTTGTAAATGCTGAGCTGTAAGTTTTAAAGTAATGCAGTTATTCTTTCAGAAGTTGTTTACGTTTCTTTATATTGCAATTCCGGCCAACGGTTTACCGCCTTATCGTGGCTGGGAGGTGTTCGGCGGGAGTTCACCCCGCAGGGTCCTCCAAGCTGAAGAGTCCGGCGTTTCCATCACGAAGCCCAGGTAATAGTAAACCAATGCCAAGATCCACTACCGTGGTATCAAACTAGTCGCACGGTAGCAAATCTCCCTATTATCCGCAGGGGTGGCGACTACCTGGGGTGGTGACGACCTGGGGAGACTTGCCAGGCTGACATAAAGACACCAAGGAAACACAATGGCTAAGCCAGCAAAACGCCAAAAAATGGAGATTATGCTGGAACTGCACAGTCAGTGAGGACGGGCGGTCCAAGTATCAAGCAAGTATATTGTAATTACCGTCTCTCTCTCTCTTCATTGCTTTTTAGAGCCAAGCAGGATACCGTCATGGTAAAACTTGGAGGTGACTTCTATGCAGAACTTAGATTGGCACGCGCAGAAACATTTATTACTGAAAAACTAGAGGTGAATATTTTTTTCCACAGAAGATAAACACAGCGGCATGAACGTCTTGTGAAATTTCATTTATTTCGATTCGAAGGATTTTTCAGATTCTCAAGAACAAAGCTGCTGTGTGTCTGGAATTATCAAGCAAAATCCGTGCAAGAATGAAATTCATTATGGGAGTTGTTGGAGAATACGATGAGCTCATTGCTGTGTACCGGGGATAAATATGTGACAAGAGTACTTATCACTTCTGCAAATAAAGTGTTTATAACTGTTTAACTAACTGATTATGATGAATTCCATTATGTTCCGTCTTTCCATGTGGTATCTCTTTGGGTACATTGAAATAACGTCGTGTTTTTACCAGTATTTTTCATCTTTATGTTATGTTTACATGCAGCGCAGTGATCGGAGGCTCCTTGTAGTACAGATGGTATCGGTCTTACGCCCAAGGCTCACCAAGCCTTCCGTCCCTCCGGGGTCGGTAAATTAGTACTAGACCTGTCTGGGAGGATAGGAGCACTGGCCCGATACATTAGGCCACCATGAATCATTGTGAAGGCCGGTTTTGCATTCATTCACCTCTAACGATGTTTAATGAAGTCGAATGCATGGCGCATCCCTCAGGGATTGATCAATGCCGAGAGCTTTATCCTTTTTTTATTTCGTGCTTACATCTCCAACTGCTACAGTTTCACACTGCTCGGGAATCGTTTCAGGCTACGATGGTTGCCGCCAATCACATCAAAGAGTCGGCCGTCCGTTCGTTGATCAGAATTGGATGTCGCGGCAAAACGAGGCCAAAATCAGTTGATGCAAATGCATTACGCCTACTAACAACACTGACAAGCACATTCACTTCAGTACGGTCTTTTTTAGATGTAACAATGGGTATATATATATATATATATATATATATATATATATATTTGGCAACATACCCTTCCATTCAAAAGATTAGGCAGTAAGTAATAGGTTGAAATTGTGATTGTAACTACAGCCTCGGCTTAATTGGGTTCATTGCCAATTTGGACTCCCCAGATTAGTCCCGCTGACGGGTGATTGGTGATGGCACTGGCCGATAGAACTAGTTGAGAGACAGGGGAAACGAAAGACCCGCATGGTGTGGTGGTGAACGCGTTAGACCCTGGAAGGGGTAGTGTCGCGTTCATTCCTCACCGCAGACATCTGCGGTCCAGAGTTTTGTAAATATCTCAGCATCATTGAAGTTATAACACTGGATATGAAAAATATAACAAATGAAGTCCTCGCGTTGGAATAAAGTCTGAAGTAGCACACACTGAAATCAATGCGTGGGGATGTGTTTGTTAGCGAAAGGACGCTGAATCGACTCTGCTTAGTCACGATGATTACTTAATGGAACGCAACTAATGATGCGCGCGTGTAGCGCAGTGGTTAGGACGTCCTGCAATATATGCGTGGTCTTGATCCGATTCCATGCTTTCAGCATTGCTTTTTTCGGGCTTTTAGACTTCATCTTTCTGTGATCAAAAATTGGTATAAGACTGTTCTGAGATAATAAAAGCACTCAATCAAGTGCGTGTCGTATTCCTAAAAGAGTGGTCAGCATTGTGCACTCTATAGCTTTACGCTTATGACATTCACTCATAAAGGCCGGCATTAAGGGTATGTGATCTACGTATGTTCGAAAATAATTTGGCTTTCAAACATTAACCAGAGTCGTAGCGTACGGTAAAGGCACGGGAATCGATCCCATGTGTATTGTAGGGCGCACCCGACCACTGCGCTACACGCGCCCTGAACATGATATAAAATGTATATATGAAAAGTGAATCATCATAATTTCTTATCTTAAATTGCAGAATAGAATGAAGAACGTGATTGTTGCACTCTTAAATTGATGATGTTGTAGGAAACACTGCTACGAGCGGCTCACTGTGCGAAAGCCGATGGTCGGTCAACGGTCACCTTAGATGACTTTCGACGTGTGCTTCCTTCTATTTTACTAGATTTTTCGATATAACTATAACGTTTTGTAGGACTGGTTTTTCCACACAACTTCTTATGATGTAAAAATTTTATTACACATTCCAATTAGTAATAAAGACGGTCTTTGCAATGTTGAACATGTAAGATCCGTTAAATGTGGTCTTCGCCTATCTTGCACGGTAGTTAGTTGTTAAACTAAAGAGAACGATATTTTTGAAGGACTAAACGACTAACGATACATGGCTAAAGAGTACACATGAATTAGCTGGAAAAAACGTGAGGCAGTACAACTGGTTCAGTTTAACGACACAGTAGAACGAAATATTTAAAGTGCAAACTGGTGCTGATACATTTGCAATGCCTCCCACTCTGCTTTGAACGCAGCTTTGGGGTCTTGTTGTGGCGATATTGCTGCTCCTAAAACAGTATGACAACTACTAACGTTGGAAGATGCGTCACGATATTCATGCCCAGCTTGTAGATTCACTGAAGCGTTGTATTTGAATGTCCTCAATGAGATATCAAGACTGTTAAAATGTCCTGCAGGACATAGCCGTGATTCGTTTTGCTTCGCTTATAGACTTGCCAATCGTCAAATAGCTAAAACGGTGGCGAGCTGAGTTCCTATCGTCCGCCAGCATTGTCAGGTTTAGTTCGCTACTCTATTTTCATTTCATTAAAAGAGAGAGAGCAGTCACCAGTATAGTCGCGCTCTGCCTTGGAGGTTGAGCATACTCATGATTAACTTGCCATGCTCTCTCAAAGTGGACGGAGTTACTTAGCAATGGATTTCATACTACAGGAAACAATGAAAAATATCTCATGTGGTCTCTTGCAATACACACTGGTTCGTTGTTGGTTCGGTGCTCGCACTGGCGCCCCGCATCGTTCCATCTTTGCGGAATCGGGAAATTGCTGCGACTTGTTCGGGAGAGTAAAAATGCTGACTTCTTACATCAACGGAAGTTATTCTATAGATCAGATATGCACTCAGCTTGCACTACGTCACCTACGAAGAAGTCGAATGTGTGGCGCATCACCCAGAAATTGGTCAATGCTGAACGGCGTCATTCTTTACATAGGGACACAACGGTAGCTTTGGAGGAAGGAAAATCCATGGGTTTTCTTTTATCAGAATTAACATGGAATAGTTTATCATATGACCTACAACGAGTTCTTCTTTTAGCCATTCAGGAGTAATTTGTCAGTTGAGTTACCTACAGCTACAAGGAAATCCTATCGATAGACTCGATACATGACTGGTACAACTAAGGCGAAGCGTTTAAGTAAGTAACACTGCTTATCTTCGGTCTTCAAAGGAAACAAGTTTCGAAAATTTTTGGCTAAGATGGAAATTAGGTAATACATAAGGGCGAAATATATAGACAGATGTTGCTGACCTTTAAAACAACTGTTGGATCCGAGGCCGAAACCCAGTGCAGGTTCTATTGTGGTACATTTGGTAGCAGGAAGGGATGTCTCATCATCCCAGCCGAAGAGGGGCCGGAGAGCATAGTGGCAGTGATGTCCGTCATCACGAGCATGGTGCTAGTTTGATTCCGCACCAAGCTAACCAAGCCCCTCATCCTTCCAGAGTCGGGAAAGTGGTAACGAAGTGGTCTGCAAAAAAAAACACTCTACAATCCGATTGGGAACGCTCCAGCCTGACTATCTTAGAACTCCAGGGAGAATTGCTCGACCAGCATTCTACGACATTCAAGATGAAATGAAAATCCTCAAGCAGCAGCCGAAGCCACAAGTAAAGTTAGAAGACCGTCGTGGACAATGGATTCAAGGATACGAATCGAATGTGAGAAGTGCTGGGATCAGTACAGTAGACGTGATGACAGACCTTAGTTTAAAAAAATCATGGCACTTTATTTCATCTTCTGGAACTAGTGTCATGCACTTAAAACGTTCGGAATATTTGTTCATTGTCTATGACAGAAATGCTTTTCAGTTAATTCCAGCGAGAAAACGATCAGAGCATCTTTCACATCCTATCCAAGCAAGTTCTGCAAACAGGATATCCAAGGGCTTCAAGCATGTTGGCGATGAATAGAAGGCACTCATGATTATATTGATCAGTTAACTTCCTAGTTAAAACAATATCGTTTTGTCTTCGGAAAACATTTGCAGTGTCGAAGAAATTTATGTACTGACAGATGTTACTTACCACTCATCTGGTCTTCCATTGCTTTCGATTGGTCTGCAGCGTTCTCTTCACCCAACACAAGTGTATAAATCGATCTTAGTCCGAACATACATAAGAAGTACCATGAAGCAGATGATACCGGGAAAAGAACATAACCACGTTAGTGTGCGCTCTGTTTCATTTACTTTTAAACGTAGCCCGAAAAAAAATGCGATGCTATAAAACCTAAACAACGCTTGCTATTCCTGTTTCCTCTAACTATACATCGAGTTGGCTCATAAGAATTCAGGTCAAATGGTTAGATACTTCTTGGGCATCAAACTGCCTACCTTTTCTGCCATGTAATGTATTGTGATACACTAATTATCCATAAAGAGACGCGTGCTGAACGGTGGTCGGAAGCGCCCTATAAAATATACAGGATCTACCCCCACGTCCAAGCCTCACCAAGCCTTTCATTCCTCTGAGGTCGGTAAAATCAGACTTGTCTGGGAGGATAGCAGTGCTAGGTCAATACGTCGGTAGGCCACTGCGAGTCATTGTACCAGGCCAGATATGCATTCAGTCACCTCCAAACGATGTTTATTGAACTCGAATGCATGGCGCATCCCTCAGGGATTGATAAACGCCGAGAGCTTTATCCTTTTTATCCCTTAATAGTCCATTCCAATAGTCCAGTCCTTAATAGTCCTAATACTCCATAGGAAAAGCCTGTCGAAGCAAAGTGCAAAGTTGGCAGACAGGAAAAAGTCTTCAGTAAATTTACAAATAAATGCCAATAGAATACCGCATAGCCATGAAACTCGTCAGTGCTAGCAGTATATTTCTACGTTATAATACCAGTATAATAGACAATCAAACGTACCCATGCCGAATCCAGTGAAACCAGATCAACACCACGCTGTAACATTGCCTTGAATTTTAACGTCAATGGAAATGGAACCCGCGTTGTGACGAAACCCGAGAAAGTCCAATTAATCCAGCCTCCCACAACAATCATTGGAATCTGAATTATCCTCAATTACCGCCATCTTTACTTGCTTTCTTAAAAACGACGAAAAAATTATGGCTTCGAAACACGAAGAGACTCACCATATTCATCATATTTCCCTTCAGCATTTCCGTCATTTGGGTCGGATCCATCGGATTCGGGCCCTTACTGGGTCGCTGCATTGCTTTCGATAAATATCCTGGTGACAAGAAGCATTTTTGAAAAAGCTCCAAAACGGAAACAAAGCCACAATGATGCTGAGATATTTGCAAAACTCGGGATCGCAAATGTCTGCGATGGGAAATGAATGTGCTACTACCCTTTCTTGGGATTAAACAGTTCACCACGACACATGCGGGTCCTTCGTTTCGCGCCTTTCTCTCGGCAAATTTTCCATCTACCAGTGCCATCAGAAATCACCCGTAAACGGGATTGGTCTGAGTAGCTGGTCGAAATCACAACGTTAATCTTTCAATGTACTAAGCTATAAACAAAGCAACAAAGCCACTACCATGATCCTCCGCTGAGAGGAAATTTCGTCTGGAATAAAACGATGACCGAGGCAGGAAACGCCCATTCTCTCGTAAAAGCCTCGACCGCAACAAGTACTGTCCGTCCGCAACATTCTCCAACTCGACCTAAAATGAAGCCTATTATGACGTTTATGATAACGCTTGACTAATTTCTATATTTATATTTGCTTATAAGAAATTTGATTAGCTTCTATCATTCGGTGTAAAGAAAGCTAAGCAGCTGAGATTGATGATGATATGGCTCATTGGCTCTCCAATTAAAAAAAACCATGTCAACTTATCAAGAACCATTTTGCAACAAATCTAAACAAAACTGTAGCAACATGGACATTCCTGAGGAATCAATCAGCCAAAAGTTTATTCCAACTATACAGCTAAAATTGTAGGCTAAATACCTTTTAACATAGACAACGCGAAGTAGATATATATAAGGGAGAAGTGGTACTTCAATAGTTGACAGTTAGCTAAATACTAATACTAATCTTTGTTCACGATTAAGGTGACGTTTCGGCGGATTTCGCCTTCCTCAGAGCCGCTTCCTATGAGGTTTCCACTAAGTATGTCACGTAGAGACCAACCGCACAGAAATCACGTGGAAGTATAATATACTTTATACTTATAGTAATAGTAAAACCTCGCGTTTGCTCAACAAAAATACGAAGTAAATTACTTGATCAATGCCGAGGTTAATAGAAAGTCGGCCGTGGCAGTTACTAATACTAATACTTGATCTTTGATATTTCAACGGCCCGTCCCTACTGGTTGTGCGGGCCCCAGCATAATCCCCATTTTTCGGAGATTTGCAGCTTAAGCCACTATGGTTCCCTGCAGTCCCGAGGTGAGCCTAGCCAAAGTCTACCCCAGGTCTTTACCACCACGGGCAGTTGCAGCCCTTGCGGATCAGAGGGAGATTTACCACCATGCGACTTTGATACCAGGACGGTGGTGGATCCTGGTAACGGCTTCCTCTTAGCTACGCTTCCTGATGGAAACGCCGGACTCCTTTTCAGCTTGCGAGACCCTGCTAAGGAGACGAATGTCCCGTTATACATCGCAGTCCCACACCCAGGAACACCTCCCAACCACGATGAGGTGGTAAATCGTTGGGAGGAGCTAAAACCAATAAATCTTGAAGACAACCATACCACCTTACGCAAGTAAAAACATAAATATACCAGGACACTTTCCTCCGATTCGTCAATGTGGAAAAATAGTGTTGTTCTTAACAGTTATGGTTAGGTAACTGTTAGGCACAATATGATTTTAAGTTAACAACTGTTAATTCGTGTACAAGGTTGGGACGAGAACCTTAATGTTCCTTTTCATTCATAATTATAGATTTCGTATATTTCATTACTTCTTCCACGCTAATATTCGCTGACTACCAACTAAGCGATTAGTCGAGAGGTTCGACATGACTTTCTTCATCGCGATGCATTACAGCGACCATAATCACTACTCCTTTAACTTTATAGAGAATAAAACAAATACATATACACACATACACACACACTGCATTAGAAATACTCACGTCACCCAAGCTACAAAAGGGCTGAAGGTATGTGCAGTATAGAATAGCACTAGTTCCTTAGATGTTCCTTCCTTTTAGGGATTGCCCACTAATACTGGACTTCACTTCTATTCGTGACTCATAAAGCAAAATTGTTCGTAATTTGTTTGTACGCCTTGTATAAAATATAGATATCTAATGTTTTCAAATTTTTAAAGCATTTAAGTATATGCATTTCAGCAATTACATGTTATAAGAGTTGAAAATACGTAAGTTCTACAAACTATTGGGTTCAGCGCTAAATGGTGCATCTTTGTAATGAACATCATGTACACTATTAGGTTGAAACAGCAGTTTTGATAAAACAAGTACTTTTGTTGGAGTAAAAATACTAAAAAAAAAAAAAAAAAAAGACGGCCACTTAGAAATGATTTAAATGCCCCAACGTCATTGGCTGTGCCATCAAAAATGTTCTTCCATTTGGACAGGCATCGGATTTCTGTCTTAACCCAAGCCACCTGCCATTATCTAATATCAATCTTCATTCTTCTTATTGTAGAAGCCAATAAAATATTACAGATATGATAGACGATACAGCCTAAAGTGTTCGGTGTTAATGAAAACTTCAGGTATACGCCATGCATTCGACTTCATCAAGGACCATGGAAGTGGCTGGATGCATATGTAGTCCGTGCAACGACTTGCTGTAGTCCACCAATATACCACGTCAACGTTTATATCCTTCCAAACAAATGTGGTACCTTATGTACTGCTAATTTTGAGCTGGTGCGAGGTTGGTATAGTTGTCGCTATTGTTGGTCGATGGCTGATGTTTAGGCGATTTCGCCTTCCACAGAGCCGTGAGAGTCCAGCCCGGATCTGAAGAAGGCGAAATCGCCGAAACGTCAACCGTCGACCAACAACAACTATACCAACCTCGCATCAACTCAAAAAGATCAGTTCATAAGAACACATAAGTAAATATATCGACTATTTACGCCAAAGTTTATAGAAAGTCAGTCTTTTGAAATATAGTACCAATCTGCCGATCTAAGAGAGAAAGAAGGTCTGGTAATCCTTAGTGCTGTATCGAACCAGCAATCGATTTAGTGTGCATTGAACAACACTAATCGCTGCGCTAAACGTACCTTTTTGGACATGAACCAACGAAAAAGCGGTCGAAGAGGAAAATCTAAGTCTTAGTATTAACCCTTTTATTTACTGCCTTTTTCTTTTTAATGGCAGGGTATGTTGCGAAATATAACTCGTATGAAATGCTGAGATATTTGCAAAACTCTGGACGGCAGGTGTATGCGGTGGGGAACGAACCCGTGCTATTGTCCTTACCGAGGAGCAGCGCACTTCACCACCACACCATCCGGGTCCTTCGTTTTGCCTGTCTCTCAGCTAGTTCTATCGATCTTCTTGGCAGTAAATAAAAGGGTTAAGATTGTGATTATAACTAAGCCTCAGCTTAACTGGGTTCAATGCCGATTTGGGCTCAACGAAGGACCAGGATTGTGTGGTGGTGAAGTGCGCTGCTCCCCGATAAGGACAACAGCGCGGGTTCGTTCCCCACCGCATACACCTGCGGTCCAGAGCTTTGTAAATATCTCAGCATTATATACTAAGCCTTAGTATCAAACAGAAACCGTTAGCTGTCAGTTCCAACCTTAAACACGAGGCGAGAAATAAGCATCAATTAACAATGAAATTTTGATGGCAAAATAGTAATAACAGTCATCAGTAGCTGAATATTCATCTTTAACATCTTCCACCGAACATGCGAGAAACTCATTTGCTAGGGCTTTGGGTCTGAAAGAGATAAAGAAGTCTAAACGCATAATACATCATCTCCAATCCACCTCGAATCCATAAAGTTGGCTTTTTTTTTCTTGGAAACTCTACGAAAGATTGTGCAAGCAATACAAAATAAACTAACCAGAAAAGAACGATGCTGAGATATTTGCAAAACTTCGGACCGCAGGTGTTTCCGGTGGAGATCGAGTATGCTACTTCCCTTTCCGAGGGCTAACGCGTTCACCACTACACCATGCGGGCTTTTCGTTTCGCCTGCCGTTTTCTATCTATGCAGATATCTCAGCATCATTCTGGTTGAATTCCATATAATATCCTACCTTGAAAAGTCGTAGTAGGAAGCAAATAAAAAATGAACATTGTAATTAGAAAAGTTCCTAGAGAACTCACTTTCTTCTTGCTCATGAGCAGCAAGGATACGTAATGGCGAAGCACGCCGATCAAAAACGTTATAACGACGATCGGCAAAAAAACCCAGGTCCGGATTGCCGGATCGAGGAGTAAGTCCGTCATCTTCTGACGAAATCACGACCGGTAAACTCAAACAACGTAATAAAATAATATATGAAATAGTATAGAACATGTCCGCTATTTATTCGACGGAGGTGTACCATCTATACTAAGAACCCGGTTCCGAACAACTCCTTACTAACACTACCCTCAAACCTACAAATTAAAGAACCCTCCCAGTGAAGCATAACTACTTCCAAAGAACTAACATTCACCAAGTTTCTTTAGTGTTCTTGACACCTATCACTCGATTTCCTTCCCAATTCTCAACTACATAGATCATTTAGCCCACTTCATTACATGGATATTAGAGGTGTAAGTTACTACGTACTATTGATATCGCACCTACCAACAGTTAACCGTTTCATCGTGCATGGGAGGTGTTCCAGAGTGTCGGCCTACGATGTGCAGCGGAAAACTTATCCCCTGGAAAGGTCTTCAAAGCTGAGAACGAGCCCGGCGTTTCCATAAGGAACTCCAGCTAAGAGTACACCAATACTAGGACCCACCACAGTCCTGGTGCGAAATTCATTACATGGTGGCAAACCTTCCTCTGATCCACAAAAGCGGCGACGCGCCTGTGGTGGTGACGACTCGGGGCTGACTTGGGCCAGGTCGAGCTAGAGACTTCAGGGAACCAAAACGGGTAAACCAAAAAACTGCGAAAAGTGGAAATTATGGACGGGGACCGCACAACCTGTGAAGACAGGCCATTCAAGTATCCAGGTAAGTAAGGTATCGCACATTATCTTAAAACTCATTACAACACAATAAACCATTTTCGTATTCAACTATTCTACGTTCTCAAACTCCACTTCGAAGCACAACAGCACGAATTTAAAAGGTATAGATCAGATATGCAATGACAGTTTTCACTTCTCATTGTACTACTGTAACAACAAAGTACGAAACTACACCAAAATATTTATTCATACAACTATTAAAAGCCACACTAGAAGCATTTAAACAGCTGCAGGAAATAGTATCAACCGCACCAGTTCACATCACTTCTCTTCACTTTGAAAAAGGAACATCACATTGCTTCTCAACGATGTGTCAACATCTCGACAACTACTTTAAAACCAAATGTCTGCCGATTGTGCAAGAACAAAGGAATCCTTTAGGAAAAACTTGCGAAATAAAAACAAGTAGGGAAGCACAAATATGCATCCTTAGAGCCACAATGATAAGCGTGACGCACAAGTTGCAAACCATGTAATAAACCATGTAATAACAACCAGAAAGTATAACAAACCTCTATACCCTAAGCATCCCATCAGCAACCGGACTATAGGCTCTACCAATTCTAGAACACTGTATGATGGGATAACCTTGAATACCACAGGCCAGTGTAACCTATGTTGCACCATTTCGCATGTTCTGCCAAACCAGAGAGGTAAGAATACCAATAGTCTAACAAAGCTGTTCAATATAGACATAAGAAGTACAAAATCATACTATATACCTGATCACCGTCACTACATCACAGTTCTAACAGGTTTCTCCCACTTACAGTTCCAGATGCACACAGATTTCAAGAACTCCCGTTAGTTATGGTCGCCTGTAATTCCCCACTGCAGATACAGAGTTCACCAGATTCTTCACTTAAAAACGGAACCAATCGCTAGAATTTTAGACTCATACTTCTTGAATGAGAACAAATGATATGAGTATTAGAAGATATAAAATAAGTTTTGTTGCTGAGGGAGAACATAACATGTCTACAGTCACTTATACACCGTGAAACGACATCGTTCTTTAAAATCTTATGCGACATTACTTCTTTTGCAAGTCGTAAGTAACTTGCTGATAGCATTAGCTGTGTAGACGGGCCAACGGATAGGATAACGTGGTTTTTAACCCTAATATTTACCCATCAGCAAGATACTTCCATCTTATACAATTCTACCGAGTGTAACAAGGCAAGAATCCAAGAATCCAACTTTCTCCGGGTATTTATAAACATCGATTGCGAGATATTTTCTTAGTGATTTTGGACAACCTAAGGTACAAAAACTACAAATTATCAGAGTGCTCTTATTATAATGAAACACAGATGAGTTAGACAGTACAACGATGGCTACACAAAACTAGTGCGAAAGATCAGGACAAAACTACTTCGTGGATCAGAACACCCACATCTGTCAAAACTTGGTTATGACAAGAAAAAACGATGAAAACAAATTATGAACAGCGTATTATAAGGTTACAAAGGAAAAATGAAAGAAGCAGAGGATCACTAATGGGAAACAAGATTAGCCTACGAAAGCAACAAGGTGGATAGTTAAACAACTGACACAATTGGACATCACTACTACCACTGACAACACTGCTTCCAGTTCTTAACAACTGGTGTAGTACCCCCAGGTCGCAATCTAAACGTGTCAGTACTCCTGAAAATGAAGTTCATTCAAGCAACAGACGTCGGATGAAGTACTCTTATTTGGTTAGATATATTGAAACAAAAACATGTTAATCTAAACTAAAAGGCGATTCAAAAAGGAAGTGTTAAACAAATATCATACGCTGATTCTCGAAGAACACCCTGGTCGTACTGACGTTTCAAAATGGTCGCCAGCTCCAAAAAAGCTCCGTCGACGTTCACATTGTTCTTCGCGCTTGTTTCAACAATTGAAAACATACCTAAAACTGATTCTTAAGACGTCTTCTTATCCTGCCTTTTCACAATCGTGCATGAAAAATTCTACGACAGAATACTAGGAACCTTAACTGGCAAGCCAAACATGAATTGAACTAGTAAAGTGATAAAGTTACAAATACCATGAAATGTAAAGGCGTTGAATAAAGAAATAAAAAAAAACCCTGACCGTTCGCTCTTTGCAAAATTTCACCTTCTTCTCGTTCGATAACTCTCTGGTCCTCCAGATCACATTTAGTAGCTAAAACATGCAAACATTAGATGTAAAGAAGAGATGTCAAATAAAAGTGGAGCGGCATTCGAACACTGACCAACTAACAGCTTGACTACATTAGGAGCAGCAAATTTCGAAACGTCGTCTATCCATCTAAAATATGGTCAGGAATTCGCATAACTAATCAAGGAAATAATATGGTAACTTTTCAAAGTGGAAACCACCCTGGAAAGTCTCAAATGCTAAAGTTGACAGATCGCTATAAGATGTAGTTAAAGAGAATTTAACAGAGTAGTGATCAATAAAGTCAAACGTAGTACATAAAATAAAATGACAAAGCTCTAGGCGCTGATCAATGGCATACCACAGCCAGTTCCAACAAATAAGATCAAAGTTTACTCCGTTAAAAATCCCACTATTGCTACCTTCACGTTCCTCCTTTAAACTAATTCATCTCTTCAGAGGGAGAGAACAAGACATACACATACATGAAGACATCGATGTGCAACGTCAACGATGACAACAATATGCGCGCCCAACACCACTAACGTACTACGAAAGTCATGAGATTGGAAGACGCAGACCACCATCCCCATAAATTCGTAACTTCACGGGCCAGAGTGTCCGTGTACGTAGTGTTGGGTATTGCAACGACAAAGAAAATGAGAAGAGATGAACGGAAACATTAGCTAACAGTGAACAAGCCTAAGTTCTCCTTATGCCGAAACTTGGCCCATCCAAGTAATCCTAGTAAAAAAGTAATCGCTTTCCGACGCATCGGCAACTTCTACCGAGACTCCTCTAACCATAGCTGGCAACACCACGGTTTTTCAACCGCCAGGACCTCGCAACTTCATCCAGATCCAAAATATCTATACAGAGGATCATCTATGAAAATAAAGAAGGATCACACAGCCGTATACTGTATTCTATGAATAAGAATACCAACAACTTGATGGCCAAACTTGTTCATTAACCCTTTCGAAACCGCGAACACACTTTTTGGAGCAAAGCCCATCGGATTGTTTGCCATTGGAGCGGAACCAAACTACGCATTCAAATCAACATGTACGGTGTGCCAGCCCATGCAAGAAGCATGTGTCACCGTTTTCTTACAATTGTGGTTCCAGCACTCCTTTCCTTACGAAATTTTCCATGCCTCCTAACTTCTACGTATTCTCTATGTTCTTCTGCCTATGCTCCAATGTACTTGACCATATCTAGCTTTTGTGTGTGCTGAAAGAAAACTCGTCTACTATCCATAGTGCTATTGACATTTAATAAAGTTGTGCAAGTGGTACAAAAAATATTGGGCTGCTCAGAAATAAATGAGAGTCTTAAAATATTTGTTTCAATGTATTTTTTACCAATAAGTTTTCTCTGTACCTAGCAAGATTATACATCATCAGAAAGCTGATTTTATGCTCTTTCTATGTCTCTGTATTTTGTCAAAAGTTAAAATTTTTCACCTATGTTTAGCTTTGCAATTTTAGATATCAAAAGTCAACTTTCGTCAAATTTTCTTTTATGAGATCCACTCCATCGCAGTGCTGCAAAGACGGTTCGAAACATTAACGAAGTTTGGGGTGAACGCAGTGTTGGCGAATCGACAGTGGAACATGGTTCCGGAAATTTCGATCTGGTGATTTCGATCGAGTTCGAAGTTAAGGAAGACCGTGGACATCATAATGAACTTGAAGACGACGAATTGAAGGCACTAGTGAAAGCAAACACACGAACAACTGTTCGAGAGTTTGGAGAATAGCTTGGTGTATGCACAGGAACAATTTCTACTCACTATTAGGTAACAAGATACTCACTATACCACTCTGCATATAACTGAGGAGATTCGCTATTTTAAAATGCTATACTTGATGCGGCAACTGTCCGTCACTACGCCAGTGAATGCAGTAAACATCATCGAATGCTAGGCCTGCGGTGTTTTAGTATCACCTATGAGATATGCAATCCATTTGTGTGCAGATGACATTCGACTTAAAGATTTTATGTTACAGCTATGAACTGCGTACTGCATATCATTACAGATGATTGGCATAGAAGAATGCTTAGTGACAAAGCTCATTAGAGAGCAAGATGATGGTTCGACACTCGCAAACGCTCTCCTCCAATACACGAGCGAACGCCTCAAAAGGGTTATCTCCAAAGTTTCAGGGAGAATCGACTCGACTGGCATCTTAACACGTTCATTTAAAAAAATGAAATCCTCAAATAGCAGCCGAAACAACAAGCGAAATGTTCGGAGATCTTTGTAAACGATGAATGCGAGGAAAAGGAATACAGTGCAACTGCGCGGATCCTCATAGCAGAAATGATGACGGGTCATGTAGTAATAATAGTAATAATAACAATAGTAATAGTAAGAATAACCATAATAGTAGCAATAGCATATCATTGTACGTCGCACATTGTCTCGTATGAAGTACAAACTGATTACTGCTCGACGTACTAACTGCTCACTATATGTAGATGTACTAGGTGTTGATTATTGTAGGACATGCTAACTGCTGATTAAACTCAAGAAGTAGAAATTTTATGCGAAACGGATAAATTGTTGACTAGTGCTGATTCTACAAGCTGTTATTGGTTAAAGTAATACTTTAACTGGAAAGTTCACAATATTAGTAAGATATTATGAAAACATGGACCAGGAATTCGCATCTTTTCCAAAGAAAAACACAAATTGATGAATGACAACTCTATCTACATTTACATCTACTACATACTAAGGATACTTCCATACAAATTTACCCGATATTCTACAGAGCGTGTGGGGACGAACACGATGGCGAAACGGGTAGACCACTCTGCATCCATACAGAAGAACACCCAATCGGTAAACTTAATGTCAAACCAAATACTTCAGTAGGCGCGTATAGCACACAGAGGAATCGGGAAAAGAAGATTTTGAAGCGGAAGTTAACATCCTGGCACAAGAATCGAGGACATCGCGCACCTACCCAAACATCCTGGATAAATTGCAAGAATCCGAAAATGAACCGAAGGGAGGAACGCCTCGTAATCATCCGTGTTAATGTGATAGACACATTACACTTCCATGTGAACTATGTGCGATTGGTCTCCACGTGATATACTCAGTGGAACTTATAGAAATCAGTAAGTGTACGAAGAAGCTATTTTGTTCCCAATGCGATTGAAATAGTTTAGTATTTCCTTTGTTTGGTTATGGAGGTGTTTGCCCTGGTATACTGCAGTCAACTTGGCCTTTCCAAGCTCTGAATACGGTGAAATTCGCAGAAACATCAGTTTTATAGTAATAAAAAATAATATCTTATTTGCTCAACAACAATGTAGTGAATATTTGAACAATACCGAGGTTAACAGAAAGTCGATCGTGAGAAATACTAAATAGACGGTCAGAAACGTACAACAAGGTGCACATCGAAATAAGTGCGCATGGCCGCGAAATGGTCAGTCCTTACGCGACAACGCCTAATTTCATTTCATTATGAAATTGCGAGTTCATACAAAATAGACGATAAATCCTCAATAACCACAACACACGCAGTGCTGAGATCATAACAAAATTACAAAAGACTTCTCTATCGCTCCTAAGACATGCATGATATGTAAGCTGCTATTCATTACAATTTACTATGGGTCACCATACAACTACAATGCTGTCAATGTCTGGAAGTGCTTTGCAGCTTATGCTGAGTCGATTTCTATGCTTCCAATGGTCTCCTATTCCATATTAAAATCATGATTCTTTATAGCGGCTTGAAGTGAACCATGTTCAATTTATAATCAAATTAGAGGTCAACGAAGTCATCCGAAAAAGGCTCATTCTAATTTGTTAAGGGTAGAGAACAGCTTTCTAAAGACGATGGCCGCTATAAAATGTGTTTAATAAGCTATCGGTTGGCTACAAAATGTGTACGAAGAGTGTTCCGTTCGCCAAAATGAACCATTAACAAGGATATAACCTCTAAAAGATGAGAGCGCACAATGACAAAGGTAACATAGGTGAGTTGTTGATCAGTATAACTATCAGTTGAGAAATCTTCAGCAGTCAGTTCCTTTCAAAACGAAGAAAAAAACGAAAAATACCTTTGCAAATTGTCAAAAGACTGCTTGCAAGTGATGTCATAGCACAGTACAATACCATTCGCTGACCGATAATAAGACTGCGTGATTGTTCGAAATCGCTCTTGACCACCAGTGTCCCAGATTTGCAGTTTTACCCGTTTACCCTCTAAAAATATAGATCACCAAGTAGAACGAAATAATACCGGAGATACCGGAGGATTCTCGGAAAGTAAGTAGTGCTGAAAGACGATATTACGATACTGGACGATTTGAAAAGTAGCCAAGCTCACCAATTACGAGAGTTTTCATAGTAAAATCAACACCAATCGTTGTTCCTTGTCTATCGACGTATGTGCCATTTCGAAAACGTTGGACAACGCAGCTAAAACTAATGTGATTACGTTCACGAGGAATTTCTAGTTTATAAGCTGGAAAGAAAAGCTGAACGCTGCAAGGATAAACCGGCGAAATGAACGCTAAGAATTATGGCACACTTGACAGCGAGCAGAAACTCACGTTTTTCCCACTCCCATATCGCCAATGAGGACGATTTTAAACAAATAATCGAAACCATCGTCTCCATCCATTGTTATTTACTCGATAGTAAGGTCATCCACCAGCTTATGAACAGTCATAGGAAATGAATTCCTGAAAAAATACGTCCAGACAAACCAGAAGCTCAAGTTGACAATCACAGAAATAGGCACCTACTTGACGAAGGACCTCGAGAGTATCGAGCACTACTGCCTCGCTCGTCCACATTGTACACCGGGTGGTGAAGCAGAACTGAACAGCAGAGGGCGCAGACATGCGACTAGGTCAGAGTGCAGCGGAACTGCGTCCTCTCGCCCCTACAGTAGGCGAAACAAAACTCGACACGAGACGACGGCCCACGGGTCCACTAAGCTTCTTAGATTGTTGAGCTAACACGAGCTTTATAAGGAGATTTATTCGACTAACGTACATCTCGACGTCTTCGCCTTCGTCAGAGCCGATGATCCGAGTCAAAGATTATTAGAAGATTCCGAATCGAAAATTATTGAGATTAGAAGAAAGATTCATTTCGAATTGAAAATCACATCTACATAACTGGCTAGGGCTAACTCAACGGTTCCGTGAAAGAAAGATCAATGAATGTGAAGGTCACACAGAGATGATGTGTAGATTACGAAATCTCAGTTTTAATATGGTGAAAGCATATAAGCATAGGAATTTCATGGATAAATGAAGTATTGCACAGGGTATCACGTGCTAGTCACAACAGCAACTCGACGTAAATCAAAACTAGTAGGCGATACCAATTTTCCATGACGGTTCCTCTACGTTATAACACGCTCGTAGCATCCATTGGTCCTTAAAAGGCAATATATCGATTTTTATCGACGATTTGGTTCTCTATTCCATTTATTTTATTTGCAATTTTTAATTTATTCGCAATGTTGATGGGGAGCGAGAAGTACCCGGTAATACAGACACTAAAAATGAACGGTGTCCACCAGTGCATGTCAAAATCAACTACTCAAAGTGAACCGAAATATTAGAAAGATAATTTTACATATCACTTCTAGGGTGTGCATGTAGCGCACTGGTAGGACGCGCTCCGCAATACACACGGGGTCGATCGCCGCGTCCTAGGCCCACCAAGTCCTCCGTCCCTACGGGTACGACAAATTGTTATTACACTTGTCTGGGAAGATAGCAACACTAGCTCAACACATTGGTAGGCCGTCGCGGGTCATTGTAAAGGCTGGATATGGATTCAATCACCTCCAACGATGCTTAATGAAGTCGAACGGATGGTGTATCCTTATGATAGATCAAGACCGATAGCTTTATCCTTTTTTTATGGCACAATTTTTTTTTGTCCAAAGGCAAAAGTTGTTCACTCAAACACGAACACCCGCTATAAGGAAGTCTATTAAGGTGTATTTATTTAGCAGAATCGAATTTCTGCATTCACATTCGTAATTTGTGACTAAACAACAGTAAAATTTAAGTTTCACCTTTACAGGATTATAAGATCCCATTGAGAACCTCGTCAACTTCTTACAAATGTTCTTAAGAAAAAGATAAGAATCCCCAAAATACCAGAAACAGGTGAAGAAGATAAAAATCACCTTAAAATAATCGATACGCCGAATCAAGAATGTGCAACATCAAGCACAAAGAAATTGATTCCTGTTGCCTTCCACTGTCCCAGTGGGCTCAAATTCCGCGCAAAGCTGAAAAGAAAGCCATAGAATAACAATTATCAATGTCTAGAAGTATGTACTATACTTACGTGACATTGAGAACCATTACACTACTTTTGAAATCATCTAAAAGCTGCGTAAGCGTTGCATCATGGGGAACTGAATCACTAGTCCGAATAAATGATGCAGTAGTAAAATAGATACATACAATACCATGGTCATACTCTGTAATATAGAAATGGCTATGAAAAGAAGAACGAAGTGAAAACGATTGAAAGAAACGTACTTCTACCGAAATTTCTAAGTGAAATGAAGGACGAATGCAAAAATGACAATATGGAATCATCAGAAACGAATCGTAGCATCTCCAGCTGATCACTAGTACATCTGGAACATACAATCTCTTCTGTAAACCTCTGGAGTAAATTTATAACGTTTACTAAGAAAATAAGAAATATGTTCGAGGACTGCTCAGATTACCAAAGCCTTAGCTTCACATTCACCTCACACCTACAAACACCTCGTACAGTGATGACTTCTAAGAACGTTAGTGCTCTACCCTTCAAAGACCTCTCTACTACCATCTGATATGCTGCATAATTAACAAATTCTAATTTACAAAAAAACGTTGGAGGAATTTTTAGAATTTCAAAATCTTAGGGATTAACTTTCTAGTTACTAATTACTTAATCAGTTTTAACTACCCCAGGTGTGAGGTTGTTCGTGGTACGACCATTATATTTCGTGCATATTTCAAGCTCAACAACTTAAATACGTGTTGATTCCTTCAAGACCTAGTTAAAACGAAAGTAGGAATTGAAATTACACTGCACTAGTACAATCTCGATAAAACATGCTATACTATCCCACGATGAAAACTCAAAAAACACCTAAAAGAACGTCTAATCTAAGCCACCCCATAAGCTGAAGTACTTAAACTGGTTAGATGGGGAATTTATACTGCCTTTACTCACTAATAAGCTTATAGCGTGTGGATAATATTGCAAAGAAAAGCAGACCACTTCATCTTCTCTTAACCAACTTCCTCAAACGTCGCGATTCGCTGATTTGGCAGCAAATTGGTTTTTATTGCGACAGAGTAATTTTTCACTTGGAAGACTTTGAATATTCCGCTGAAGACCGTTAGCATTTCCGCCACCAGTAAAATTACAGATAGAACGATAATCCGTGGGACCTTTAGGAGAAGTTCATAGAAGTTTTTAGTACTACGTGGCACGTCGTCACAGTTTGTGCGAATGAATCATAGCACATTCCGAGTTCCATCAATTTTCTTGAATCCATCATTTACGAATACTTCAGATTCGCGTGCGGATTTGTCTGCTGCTTGGGAAATTTCTGGCTCCTTCATAAGTGCCGCTAGGCGCTGGTTCAACCGATCCTCCTTGGAATCCTGAGATTGCTTCTGCTAGGGCGGAGCCATCTATTGCTTAGTGGATGAAATCAACCGATCCCAGACAGGCTTAGTGTCAATTTTCCACTTGCATAAGAACTACAAACACAGTTACTCCCAAGTCCGACTTTCTATTAACCTCGGCATTGATTGAATAATTCTTTCTACTTCTGTTCAGCAAACACTACTCCACTACACAGGTACCCCAAAGATAACTCTAGCGACAACAAAGTCCCGTTTATACTGCCTTTCATTTCAAATGAAGTAAGTGCAGCTATAAAACGCTGTTTAAGAAGGACCAGTCTAGAGAATTCGGTAACGATAATCGAAATACCACCGAGTAATCTAAGACGCCGTAAGTTCGTAACCGCCTTTACGACCGTCTATGCGCAACGCAAAATTGCATGATTTGCCCCAATGGTAGAGACGGCGATTGCATGAGTTCGGGTACAGTCCATCTGATCTCTTGTAAAGTGTGCGTGGACGAATACGTTGGTGAAACGGATAGACCACTTTGCGTACTTACAAAAGAACACCTAGTCGGCAAACGTAAACCAAATACTCCACTAGGCACGCATAGCACGCAGAGACATAACGGAGAAGATTTTGAAGTAAGGGTTACGATCCTCGCACAGGAATCGAAAACACAAGCGCGCAAAACTCTAGAGGCATTCTGTTTTAATTCCAAGAATCCGAAAATGAACCGCAGGGAGGAATGCCTCATTATCACGCATGATATTGGACAGTATATAAACCTGTTTTTCTGATGGGAGGGGCACATTATGCTTCCATGTGAATTCTGTGCGGTCGGTTTCCACACGACATAGTCAGTGGAAGACTCATAGAAAGCGGTGAGTGTGCAGAGCTATGTTAAATGTGATTGAAATCTTGGTTTAGCATTTTTCCTGTTTGGTTATGGAGGTGTTTGACCGAATAGATTGCTATCAACTTGACCTTTCCAGGCTCTGAGGGAGGCGAAATCCGCCGAAACGTCAGCTTGTACGTAAATAAAGAAATAAAATAGCACCTCGTGTTTGCTGAACAGAAGTAGGAAGAACTATTAAAAACACAGTGATTGCCAACGAGTACAAATTTAGTTCCGATGTTGTGAAGTAAAATTTTTAATAGATGATCTCTATTGTTAACTATTTGATAGGAGTACTGAGAGTTTCCAATGATATGGCGCAAAGGAAAGTCTTAGAAGACCTCATCTCTGTCAAATCTAGAAGATCGGTCATCCAAAGTTGAGTTCGATCATTATTACAACATGAGAGCTATGGAAACTATGAATGAATATATACCGAATTTTACTAGTCCCTTTTTCTCAGTGTTTAATGTCTCACTGTGGACCCTACCGCAGCAATTGAATACGTATAGCTGCACGTTCTATTCGCTCACAAAAATCCTATAACTTCTTCTTACTGTTAGCACTACTCTCCGAGCTCCACCATAAAGCATCAACGGATAAATCTGTCGGCGTCGACATAAACCCTGATGGATGCGCCATGCATTCGACTTCATTAAGCATCGTTCGACGAGACTGCACGCATATCTAACCTTCCCAATGACTCACAGTGGCCTACCGATGTATCGAACCAGATCTACTATCCTCCTAGACAAGTCTGGTACCAATTTGCCGACCACGAAAGAATGGAGAGGTTCATGAGCCTTGGGCGCGGGGTCGATCTCATATGTATTACAGGGCGCCTCCAACCAGTGCGCTCCACGCAATCCTCACCTACACCATATTATTCACCAAATATAAAGCGCAACAAGAAGAGCTACAACTACTTCATTCTCTTACATAGAAAGCTAATGAGAGCAAAAATAAACGAAAAATGAACTTATAGAAATGTGCTGGGAATTTCAAGCTCTACAGAAAGAGACTGACCTCCGCCTAGCTATTTTTGCTTGTTCAACAAGATCTCTTGAAGCCAAAAATCCCATACGATTCCATTCCCCATCAGCTATGCATTCTCCTAAGACTGACGCGCCCTGAAACTCAGGAAGAAATAACGAGCATGTTAAGAGCTAAATATTTCGCTGATAACTTACTAATGTGTAGGGAGACAGTTACCTCAACGGAGACACGAATAAAACGCTCTCTATCATAAGCTTTTTCGTAGCACAAGTGGTAAATCGCTTCTGATACAAATGTGCCTATTCGTCTTGCCGGATCGAAGGTCGGTACGACAATTTTTGGAGACGGAAACAGGGAAAGATAACGATTTTGTGTCACCTAAAGTAGTAATCGATGAGGAACGAAGGAGGAAGAAACTTCCTTGTGAAGGAAGACGAAACCTATTATGGATTCCAACAAAAACTCTATGGTATCCGACATTTCTTCCGTGATACCTCACAAGTATTGTTTGTCTCGCCACCTCAGCTTCACAAGGAATGCGTCTGCACAACTTTTCAATGCGTCTTTAGATTTTCAAAAAAAGTAAGTTCACAGAAGATCCCTCATTAACAAATACTGGACTTGAGAACACCAAAGCGCTACACCTGCAGGATTCAACTACAACAGTGTGGAACTCAGGACTGTTCTGTCCTTGCGAAGTAAGCAGAACTACGGTTGAAGTCTAAAGACCGTTATGAATGAAAGGGACCAACCGGCTCATCCTTGAAATCAGTTATCGATCCAGCGCTTCCGTCAGAAGCCGAGAGCATTCCAACACCACGCATAGCAACTGTCGACAGTACACGTCCTGCTGCATGGCACATCATACGCATTGCCTGAAATCCGTCGAGAATGGGCTACTGCTGCCTAGGATGCTCCACTGCCTTCAACTACGCGTTACAACCGATAATCGGAAGGGAACATGAAAACACAAACAACTGTCAGAAACCACGTTTCGTGTGAATCCCTTGGAATCACGACTGGAACGACTGAATGCCTCTCAAAAATCGTACATTCTCAGTGCAGTACGTGATTTAAAGCTCCCAGTCCTTCAGACGCATTATCAAGTATACATATTTGGATAGTTGGACGGTCCGTCTTCACGAGCTGTGCAGACAGCACATATGAAGTCGAAGTCGTACATTTCCAAAGCTAACCAGCCAGCATGCAGGAATTTGTGCGGAGAACAAAGCTGCAACACAACTCGTCCATTTTGGAGAGATTCGCCTGGAAGCGTTTCGTTTTCAATTTTTAGTTGAGTGTGTGGCTAACTAATTCCGAATCCGAAAGAAAACTACTAAAAGCTATTTTTTTCACAATGAAGCACCAGAAACCTTTTACTTAATCGTCCTCTCAGTTTTTTGATGGAAAGCACCTTCCAATCCTCACTAGTAGCAGTTATCAAAGGAATCCGTGAATCTGCTCGTCGTGGACGAGTTGTCGCGTTGGCCATTAGAAGGGCAAATCGGTTTTGTGGCCTAAAGCGCTGCTTATCACTTGTTAGTCCGGTTAGCAGTTGTGCTACTCGTGTCGTTTACGAGCAAGAATGTCCATGTTGTTGTTCTCCGTCGATTTTGTAATCAAACTGGAGACGGTGTGATTAGGAAGGGTGCAGTTACGAGAGGTTGCAATGGCTTGGAAATCTTGAAGTATTGCTTTAGAAAGTAAAGGACGCTTTGTATTCCTGGAGAGGGAGCGAGCGAAGTCCAGATTCTGTGGGAATGGCGTCGCTTGTTAGGTTTTCTGCTTGCTTACCCATCATAGGGATTCCTGCGCGGGAAACATAACAAATATCCTTCTCATATATTTATTTATATGTTCTTATGAACCAATCTTCTCGAGCTATCGTGACGGGCTTGTGATTGCAATAGTTCATTTTACAGAATGGATGTAATAGCTATGTTTGCATGGTCTTACTGCTGTCGGAATCCTAGAATCGATCCTAGAAGGATCTAGGAGCTTAGAGGATTCTAGAAGCGAGTATTAGTTGTCGCTTTCTTGCTTTTCCTATTGCAGCTGTTCTATATTTCTTGTCCTGACCAGTATCTCATTCAATCATCGTTTCTATATTATTGCAACGCAAGGTTATAGATATGCCTTTTAAAGGAATCGCATGGATGGTATGTAGTCAAGTTATGGAAGTCGTGTTGTATTATATTTTCTCCAGAAGGAGGTCCATCGAAGGGTTTATAAGACCGCGCACAATTGACCTTTGGTTTTGGCTCTCGCTAAGCCTTTGCACCGTATTTTGTTTTATGCATAGCTAATGCTAGCTATTAATAGATCAGCAGCGGAGGATAACGAACGATATCCAAGACAAAGTATTCGGGATACTGAAAGCCCTGATTAATCTGTTTTGGATCAGTCCTGTAGTGGATCCTATGTGTGTCTACGATCTGGTGGAGAGAACTTTCTTGAAGAAATCATTCTTCTAACGCCCATCTATTTACACTTGTAATGATCTAAGTTTAAGTTTGTAATAGCTATGTTTGCATGGTCTTTCTTACTGCTGTCGGAATCCTAGAATCGATCCTAGAAGGATCCTAGGAGCTTAGAGGATTCTAGAAGCGAGTATTAGTTGTCGCTTTCTTGCTTTTCTTATTGCAGCTGTTCGGCCAGTCACATTCTTTTCGTATCCTGGTCGTATACCTACGTTTTTTCTTGCAACTATTTTGATCAATGACGATTTACTGACTTTGTTTTCTAAGGTATAATGCGATACGTTTCGGCGTACCTTTTGGCTCTTGCCGGCGGAAACCAGTCACCAAAGGTACGCTATTGATCTCAATTTTCTGCTTCCTTTCCCTAACCCATTATTTGTCCTTCGTATCAATAATCTTCTATAATCAACATGTTTTCAGCTGGAGGATATTAAGAACATTCTTGATGCGGTGGGAGTAGACACTGATGCTGAAGCCGCTAATCTTGTCATTTCAAGACTGCAAGGAAAGAACATTGAGCAGGTTATTGCTGAGGGTGCTGCTGACTTGGTTACGGTGAGATATTTTCCTTTTTGTTTAAGATAAATTTTTATGGCTATGTTCTATATTTCTTGTCCTGACCATTATCTCATTCAGTCATCGTTTCTATATTATTGCAACGCAAGGTTATAGATATGCCTTTTAAAGGAATCGCATGGATGGTATGTAGTCAAGTTATGGAAGTCGTGTCGTGTTATATTTTCTCCAGAAGGAGGTCCATCGAAGGGTTTATAAGACCGCGCACAATTGACTTTTGGTTTTGGCTCTCGCTAAGCCTTTGCACCGTATTTTGTTTTATGCATAGCTAATGCTAGCTATTAATAGATCAGCAGCGGAGGATAACGAACGATATCCAAGACAAAGTATTCGGGATACTGAAAGCCCTGATTAATCTATTTTGGATCAGTCCTGTAGTGGATCCTATGTGTGTCTACGATGTGGTAGAGAGAACTTTCTTGAAGAAATCATTCTTCTAACGCCTATCTATTTACATTTGTAATGATCTAAGTTTAAGCTGTTTAAAGTATTGGCGGCGAAACGAATAACTATCTGTAACCAACTAAGTCCAGTGTTAGTGGATAGGTAGTTTTCAACACATTCGTGGCCTGCATGATTCATCTACGCTTCGTATGTGAGATGGAGCACAGCGGATCGAAGAGCAATACGTGGTTCATTTTCTTCCCAGGAGATGTTTTTTATTCATTCTATAGTTTAGCCACCATAAACGTTGTTCACATTGTGACTCGAGAAATGTTAGATTCTACGCTTAACACGTACGCAACCGAGTCTAATTTAGTGCAGTAGCAACTTGGCAGTACGGGTAGTTTTCGGCCCCTTCAATTTGCATTTGAATCCGTGCATTCGGTTTGCCCTAGTCATCAAGACTGATTAAACCCTTGCTTTTCACTCTGTAGATCGGTTTTCGCACGCATTCCATATTTGTTTCTATGGCATTTTATGTTCCACTTATCGCCTGCGTTTTGCTTCTGGGACATATCTAGTTGTTATAAGTGATGAAAACAGCTGTTACAGCATCTAACCATATTGCTGTTGAGCCCATGTAAGATTTCGTAGGGCATGACAGGGTACAGATATAAAAGACTTGTCAGTAGGAGTTGTAAAAAGTGTCTATGTTGTAAACTGCGAAACTACTAGAACTGTAGTGCTTGTCATTCTGTATAAATTGTGTGTAGGAAGTGTACATTGAGGACGTTGCGTGTTATGATGATAGGAATTGTAAAGTGTTAATTCTCAAACTACTTGGATACTTGAATGGCCCGTCGTCACTGGTCGTGCGCGCCCCAGCGTAATTTCCATTTTTTCGGAGTTTTGCTGGTTTAGCCAGTGTGGTTCCCAGGAAATCCGAGGTCAGCGTAGCCAAATTCTGCCCCAGGTCCTCACCACCACAAACAGTCGCCGCCTTTGTGAATCACAAGGAGATTTGCCACTAAACGACTAGTTTGATACCACGATAGTTTGATACCGGGTCCTGATATTGATTTACTCTTAACTGTGCTTCCTGATGGAAATGCCTGACTCCTCAGCTTTCCGATTCTCAGAATAAGAGATTGTAATAGAATGTTTTTGAGTACGACATTTATAACATCAGTGAAATATGTTCAGAGCATCGTTGGATGTTGGTTGTAGTTTTTAAACTCTTATTCTCACATCTTTTTGCTGGTGCTAAAAAGTATAAACTCGAATGCTTTAAAATCTTAAATTTTTATAGTTATCAATATAATGTTTTGCAGACTTTTTGTAGGTCATTTGCAACTTTACATTTTTACGTCCGTTATTACGACCTCTCGAGTAGCGCTTTTTCCGTAATGTTTACAATAATTAAGACTTTCAACTTCTACAAGATAAATTTTCTGTATATGATTTGATATTTTTTTTCGTTTTTTAACGTCTACGATTTTTTGTAGGGTCTAAAATATCTAAACAGAAGTATTTGTCGCATTTGTTACATTTTGTATTTACTTGCCTAACACATTTTGAAAAGACGTGAAATAGTGATGTCTTGCTAGCTTTTTACAACAACCAATCCAAAGTCTCCAATCCTCTGAGGATCTACCAACCTTCTCAACAATATCCCTAATTGTAAGCGTAGTAGCAGTTATAGATTAAACATAACTCATGTTTATTATTTTGAAGTCATCCCAATTCCCACGCACCGTAACAATTGACTATGCGTTCACGAAACACATCTGAATACCTACGTGGAAGAACAGCCGTATTTGCTCAAATTACAGAGCTAGGAAGAAATGGATCTGCTTAAACCTTTAAGAAGCAAAACCTACTTACAACTTCCAAGTCTGGCTGACATATGGGGAAGAATGTGACGCCTGGTCACTGGTTTTCAAGGTACAATTTTTCGCAGGTATAGCTTCCGATGGGCGTGTGTGGCGCATTGGTCGAAGGCTCCCTGAAATACACGTGGGCTCGATCCGCGCTCCCAAGGCTCACAAAGTCTTCCATCCGGGGTCGGTAAAATGGTATCAGACTTACCTGAGAGGATAGCAGTCGGTAGGCCACCGCGAGTCTTTGTGAAGGCCAGATATGTATTCACATCTTCAATGATGCTTAATCAAGTCGAATGCATGATGCGTCCCTTAGGGGTTCATTAACGCCGAGAGCTTTATTTACCATTTATAACTCTTGATCTAGTACGGTTTTCAGTACTTAGTCGTTACGGTCAAGCAAGGGAAGGGATCCGAAGCTCCAACCGGCGTCAACAATCAAAAATCAAAGATAGCATTCTGTACACCAAACAGCCGAAGATAAGGTGGGCCCGACACGTAATGCGTATAAATGAGAACCGATGGACAAGAGCCGTTAATAACTAGATTCCTCGGGATGTTAAACGCACTGCAGGAAGACCACCGACTCGATGGTCATAGTTCTTCATGAAAAGCCTAGAAGAAAGATATGATGCTCAACGAGTCCCTAGAGCGAGCAGAACCCACTGGGCTACTCTTGCACGCGACAGCGAGAAATGGAAGATTTACTCGCGCCCTCTCGAGTCACTCGACGATCAACGGGACTACAGATGAGACTACAGTTGAATCGTTAGGGTAGCGTCATGCATCGTGGATCGTAATAGTGTCCTTTTTTTGTCTTTACTGCAATGCTGTTATGCTTCTTTTGTTTTGCCGAACCTCGAAAGGTCCTCTGTCCAAACTCTGCTATTTAATATTTGAGAATTCCTTTTTCATTTTTTTTCCATGTACTGACCTATGAGTCTTTCTCTGGTGTATGCCAGCAGATATATCTCATGTGAGAAATGCTGGCAGAATGCAACGCTCACACACGTTTTTACTAGCTCTGTAGACTCATGCGCCTACTATGTATATGTATATATATATATATATACATGTATATATTGTATATATATGTATATATATATTGCTCTTAAAGTCCAAGTCTAAAGTTGATGAGTTCAAGAATTGATTGCATTCCCAACTTGAATACGTGTGTGCTTGGATGGCTCATCTTCATGACCAAGTGTGGGTTCCACGACAATTTCCATTTTTTTTGAGTCATAATCAGCCAAGATTTTCTTCCTTGTGGTTCCCAGATAACAATTTTGGAAATAAGGTAACTAACTACGAAATAGTAGCTCCTCAGGATATGTGTAGAGGAAGAAAGCAGTAGTTCTATCGAGAATGAGGCTCCATTTATCCAGCCGTTTTCTAGTGAAATATGTAGAGCCATAAAGCATAGGGTGCAGTGTGCTTAATTTAGTGTAGGTGCGGAAACGAATACATTGGCGAAACGGGTAGACCACTGTGCGTTCGTATAAAAGTACAGTGCTCGCGTACAAAACTCTCGAAGCATTCTAGATAAATTGCAAGAATCCATACATGAGCCGCAGTGAGGAATTTGTAATCATACGTGATCTAACACAGTATCTCACACTGATATTTTAATGTGAGAGTAGCGCATTATCCATCCATGTGAACTCTTTGTGGTTGATCTCCACGTGAAACACTTAGTGGAAAACTCACAGAAAACAATGAGTTTATGAAGAAACTAGTTCATTTCCAGTGCAGTTGAAGTGCAAGTTTCGTGGTTTTTCTATTGGGGTTGTGGACATGTTTGGCTGACTAGAGTCCAATCAGCTTCACAGACTGAAAAATCGGCTTTTACAAAAAAAAGTAAAGTGACAACCTTATATGTGCATATCTAGAAAGGCGAATTATTGATCAGTGCCGAGGTTAATAAAAAGCCGGTGTTGGGAATTTATGTCTATCTTAAATCCTCACAACCACTCGTCGGCCAGTGCAGATTAAAGGGAGATTTGCGACTAGAATGCCATAGTTTTTTCCACTGAGAATATTTCCTAGCAGTGTTGAGTTTCCAGATAGGTATTTCTAAAGTCTGAGCATGGAAAACCCCCAAGGGTGAACCTCCTGAACCACCAGTCACAATCGACCCAACGACTCATTGTCATTAGTAAGCGCTTGCTGAAATTTAATAAAATTGTGGACTGACTAGCACACCTTGTGGAAAAGTCAATGGCTGTTCATGGGTATCGTTAATTTCAAACGTTAATAATTTTTGGTGGCTTCTGTCACCCATTTGTTTGTTACTCTTTTTTCTCTGTTTCGAAATTCCCATCATATTGGTACATAGATAGCATATGAGTTATCGTGCTTTTATAGAGGCTAGCATTTCAACACCAGTAAAACCAAACTGTTTAAAATTCTCGCGGCAGGTGGTACCGGTACGTGCCTTAAAGAAGTCGCGGGAGTGGTCGGTGCGACACCCACAGGTGTCATTTTCTTTTCGGTGGTTTACTTTGATGCACAGAATTTTTTTCCTAAACTTCTAGTAATCAGTCGGCGGCTTATCCAACGCAAATGTTGTGGTGGGCGTCGATCATGGGAGGGTAATGATTTCTCATCTGATAATTCACAAAAAACCTTTTTTTGCACGAGGTCATTTCGTGATCGAGAAACTAATACTATTGAAGAGAGTGTGCGTCATAGTGTGGTCAGTGGGGAAGTGTAGTACTGAGTCTATTTGTACGCTGGTATTCGCCACTTTGAAGAGCATTTCGCTAGAGTAAGGTGATGGAGAATACTTATTCAGAGTGGTTAGTCAATGTACTTCAACAGTTTTTACAAACAAGTACCAACTCTTTTCACTACAACCATTATTGATGTGTTTAAAATTGTTCACAAAAGCTCCTAATGTGTAACCTACAGTTTATAATGTATGTGTGTATGTATGTATGCATACAATTTCAATACCCTGCATATAAATATATTATTTTAAAGCTCAATTATTTACAATGCAAGCTTCTCACATTTTACATTTATTCGATTTCCTTCCCACAGTCAACAACTTCGGTGACAACTGTGACATAGTTGTGTAATAGTTACCAAAAATACTATCTCTAATGGAGCTAGGTGTTGATCAGTGGGTGTCGACATAGTATGCTTGAATTATCAGTATTTACAGACAATTTACGTTTTACATATCTGGCACCGTTCACAGTTAGTGCGTGTGTTAAACTATTTATTCACCTTACGACCTTAGGTCTTAGGAATTAACACATTTCATATATAATTCACAATCACTGCAACCTTCTATATTTACAATTACACGTTTCACATACCATTTGCCTTAAAATCACTCCCTACTTTCACGACATATGAGATGACTGTAACTATCTAATTAGAGTGTGAAACACCTATAAATGGCACTCTTTAGAATCCTTGAAACCTATAGACAGGGAACAGAATTGTAACTAAAGGATAACGAATACCCTGAAAATTAGGAAAGATTGCAATGCTTCAAGTATAAACATAAAATTGAGCGTGATAGAAGAAAGGGAAAAAGTAGACGGAGGAGGATGATGCAAAGTGAAAGGAGCAATGGTAATCTGTCACGAAAGCTGGTGTCTAATGTACTTGTAATATTGTATATAATGTATAGTATATGTCGACTATAGATAGATTTAGAATAGTCTTCATTCCATAACAGGTGCTTAGGTTGTTTAAGCGAAGCCTTTAGCAGGTCCCTTCCAAATTTTGAACGATGACTTCTTTTACCAACTACTGATTCCTCTACGCTTTGCAATCGCTGCGTAAATCATGGCCATAGTACGGAATGAGTGGGTGTATGGAAACATGAATGCCTCTAGAATAATAGGACAAAAACTTCTCCACAATTTTGTTGAGGGTCGAACGCTTGAAGTACACTAGTCAAAGAGAAATTAGGGAGAATTTTCGATTAGCTGAAATTGCGTGCATTGTGCAGCACCATTTTTGACAATCATTTTGTTGTTTTCTAACTTTTCAATCCATACGATGACTTTTGAGTATTGTACCGAGTGAGAGGATATTATAGCCACAGAAGCATCATAAAATTCTTTGCAGAGTTTATACAACTTCATTAAATCTTGAGAGCAGTATTGCTGCATAGAAGACGAGTTTTCTTTCATTACACGTAGGATTTATGCACGCACCGAAAATATAGGAGGATATACGTAGGAACATCATCAAGCATGCATACAGGAGAAGCGCGGAAATTTTTCCAAAAGGCGGTTAGCATGGAAATCGCGATAAAGTGAAAGCTAAAGGCGGCGCTAAATAAAAACTGCCGTTGTGACATCCATAGGTGTCTTAGCGAGCACAGCGAAAAATTTGATCCATAAAAAAGGAAGTTAAACGTCGTCGTGAAGGTATTAAAACAACGTCAATCTCATTTATTTAGTTTCATAGCATCTGCAGTGACTATCATCTTGATATCTGCTAAGCGTCAACTTTTATTATATTCCATTAATGTAGTAGTAAAAAATGATCTGATGCTGAATTTTCAGATAAGTGGTGGAGTTCCTGCCGCTTCTACCCCTGCAGCTGCAGCGGTAGATGCTCCAGCTGCAGCAGCGCCTGCTGCAGAAACCAAACCTGCCAAAAAGGAGGAAAAGGAGGAATCGGATGATGACATGGGATTTGGACTCTTTGATTGAAATTGTTTGCCCAAATAAATTGTTATTTTTATACAGTGGAGAGTGCTTTGATGTCTTATTCAGATGTATTTGTTTAATAATTCTTTAGTAACAAAGACGTTACTTTTCTCTAGGTTCTCAATATTCAGAAACAACGTAATTAATGTACGGAGTTTACGAAGCAATTCCCAGTCCTTTTGGTGAGGTGGCGTATAATTTTTTACTCCTATTTGTTTGAATGACGCTACGTATTGTTGTTGTGACATGAAGATTGAGATAAATCAGTGTTCTTCATCTTTAATTTGGAATCATGGTTGAACGTCGTCACCCGATACTCGTGATCCGTTGCCTTTCATGGCAAAACGGTTCAGTGGTAGGTCTAGAGATCTGAAACGGAGGACCACTAGATGGATTCTGGGTGCAACTTGTGGTTCCTAATAGTGATAGTTTTGTGGCAAAGTTGGGAATGGTCTTTACCAACCATATCTGACCGCTGTATAGTCTTGTAGTTACATAAGCACAATATAGGTCGATTCATCGCAACGGTTTACCGCCGCAACGTGGATGGGAGAAGTTTCTTGGTGTCGTGCTACGATGTACAGCAGGGGATTCATACCCCAGCAGGGTCGCCCACGATGAGAAGGAGTCTAGCGTGTTCATCAGGAAACCCAGCTAAGATTACACCAATGCTGGAATCCATCACCCTCTAGGTGTTGAAGTCGCATAGTGGAAAAGCTCCCTCTGATCCCCAAGGGCGCGACTGCCTGTGGTGGTGACGTCTTAGGGCAGACTTTGGCCAGACTGTCCTCGGGACTCCAGGGAACCACAATGGCTAAAACAGCAAAACTCCGAAAAAATGGAAGTTATGCTGGGCCTGCACAACCAGTGAAGATGGGACATCCAAGTAAGTAATATTGGTCGTTTACGTGTTATCTTCTGATATCAAATGGGTATTCGTGTTGCTGTATGTCTCGCATATCTTTCACTCACGTGATTTTATTTGATTTTCTTTAGGTGTTGCTGGCAGAAATTGATTTGGAGTTGTGTGCTGTTTCATTTGTGAACGGTCGGCGTAATGCCATCAAGGAATTGGTAAAATGGTATCCATCGGTGGATTTCGTGCATGGGAAAGTTTCGAACGCAGATAATGTTGGACATATTAATTTGCTTTTCATAGACATGTGCATATAGGTTTTCGGAAGGTATCTATTTCTTCACAGAAGTATGAGAATAGTTACATTGCGGTAGATGGAGATAATGGTTGAAAAGTTTCTCATAAAGGATAAAAAAGATAAAGGTCTCGGCGTTGATCAATCCCTGAGGGATGCGCCATGCATTCGAGTTCATTAAGTACCGTTGGAGGGGATTGAATGCATATCTGGCCCTTGCCATGACTCGAGGTGGCCTATCGATATATCGCGCCAGTGCTGCTATCCTCGCAGGCAAGTCCGGTATCAAATTGCCGACGCCAGAGGGATGGAAGGCTTGGTGGGCCATGGGCGCCGGGATCAATTTCACGTGTGTGTCGCAGTGGCGCCTCCAACCACTGCGCCACATACGCCTGCAAAATTTTTCATGCGACACTCTTTAACGTAAGGAAGGGCGCGTGACGCAGTGGTTGAAGGCCCCTTGCAATACATATGGGATCGATTGCCACTCTCTGGCCAACCAAGCCGTCCATCTCTCCGGGGTCGGCGAGTTGGTACCAGACTTGTCCGAGGGGATAGTAGCACTGGTTGGATGCATCGGTGGGTCACTGCGTATCACTGTGAAGGCCAGATATGCATTCAATCACCTCCAACGATATTTAATGAAGTCGAATGCATGGCGCATTCCCCAGGGATTGATCAATGCCGTGAGCTTCATCCTTTCATTTGTAAAGAAGGGAATATAGCTTTAATCCTGTCATCTATGTTTATAACCGCGTTTTTTGTAGGTGTTAAAATTACTCAAAGGCGAAGAAGTGGAAGATATCCCAATTTCAAAGTTCGTATTTGATGGTTGCTCGGATTTCAGAAAAGACGTCTACAGAGCATTACTTCGTATTCCAAGAGGAACTACAAAAACATACTCTGAGGTGAGATGTTCTAAAATCTAGTGTGAGCAGTTTTCTTTGTTTTTGGCGATGCGTAGTTGGAAATAAGAAATTTCAAAAATTAAGATAGCATCTCAAATCGGTCGTCCAAGAGCCTACCGTGCCGTAGCACAAGCTTGCAGTGCTAACATACTGGCTGTCGTCATCCCTTGTCATCGAGTCGTCGCTTCAAACGGATCACTAGGCGGTTACTCATGTGGTGTTGACATAAAGCGACAGTTGCTAAATATCGAATCTTTAGCATGTGTACTTAAAACGCGAACTTCCTATATTTTTAATGTTCCTAAAACACGAACTTCCTAGACTCCTAATGTTCCTAAAATGCGTTCATCCTAGATTCTTAATGTTCTTATTATTCCTAGATCACTAGTCCGTGCATTTTCAAATGGAAGTTTCTGGAGTTTTATAACATTGACGTCATGACAAGGAAGCCATGACAGCTCTTGAATTTGACCCGTGAACCGTTTTACTATACACGCTCAGTATGTCTGAATGAGACCATGAATAAGAAATGTTTCCCACATGTATGAAGAAAACCATGAGTGAAAATTTTTCCCACATCAGTGTTCCATTTCGTTGAATAATACGGATTTGTTCACGGTGGCAGTTACTGCTCACTAACTTCCAAGAAGTCGTTACCGTGTTCAGGTTGCAGCAAAGGGGCGCGAATATGCGTGATGTGTTACGCCAGACCTGATACGAGGGTACTTAAACCTCTACATATACGTACAGTTTAAAGAACAAGACGATGAAGAAATCAATAAGCAGCGATAAAATGGGATTTGCACTGAAAATTTAAGGGTAGCTCATGTGAGGTACTGATGAAGCGGTATAAGGAAAAAATGACATGCCGAAATACAACCTAGCTACGAAGAGCTAGAAACACGTGGTGATGAAAGAAGAGATGGGGAGAAATAACTAATGGGAAATTTTAGATACTGGGTGAAAGTTGATGGTAATGGAGTAAAGCAGTGTGTTCCCTTTACCTGCAACTTACTCTCTGTTGGCGTATATTTTTTTAAATTATGATATCTAATACCGTAAAAGGACTTGGTAGCTGCTTATGAAAGCAAGCTGTGTTGAATTAACCACAAGGCTCATGAGATACGAGCAGAGGTCAGAACCTCAGTTTGACTTTAAACCCGCGACTACCCTTTCGGATGGATCATACCCTATCCACCACATCAACCGACGCCACTGCTTTATTTTTCTCTCAACTCATTTTTTAGAGTTAAAAAAGAGTGGATAGCACTTGAATCCCCAGTCAGAGTAGTCGTGGATACGACTGACCAAACCAACTGAGGCTCCGCAATTTGTGTATATTTCAGCATTCTTGTGGTTGTACTTCACATAGAATCCTGCCATTGAGGAAAGACTAGGCGGCAAATGAGAGCTAAACATCGTGTTGAAACACACTGATGAGCGCATACTCAGTGAAGGCTATGAAGATATCTGCTAAACGATTTATCTTCTTATTATCTTGGAAAGCCTTATTCAAGTGCCTAACACCATTGATCAAGCCCAGTAGGGAGGCCTCTGTTCTCCCCGGAAGGCAACAGCCTCCCTTCTGGCTGCTACCTTTTACCAGTTATAGTTCCCGCTTATAAAATGGCGTCGTGCAAAAGAGGCTTTTTGTAAACTATTAAGTGCAGAGGAAACACCTGTGTGGATGATAGCCGCCGCAATATCGGTTTTGGATAAGTTGCCGTTTGATTAAAAGAAGTGTAGAAGAACAGCTTTGTGCCCCAAAATAAATTATCAGAACTGAAATAATGATTTCTGCAGTGGTCAAACAGGCCACAGTATCCTTTTGTAAAGGACTGCTGTAGAAGTCATGTCGCGAATGTGTTAACGCTGTTGTCATTATCTTAACCTTTTTATCTAGAGCTTATTCTTTTTAACGGCAGGGTATGTTGCGAAATATAACCTCTATAATGCTGAGATATTTGCAAAACTCCGGACCGCAGATGTTTGCGGTAGGGAACGAACGCGCTATTGTCCTTTCCGGGGAGTAGCACGTTCACCACCACACCATGCGGGTCCTTCGTTTCGCCTGTCTCTCAGCTAGTTCCATCAATCTTTTGCCGTCAGCAATCACTCGTCAGCAGGATTGATCTGGGAAGGCCAAATCGGCAACGAACCCACTTAAGCTGAGGCTTTAGTTATAATCACAATTGAAAAACTCATTTAAAAATAGTAAGCAGTAAATAAAACGATTAAGACTATGCGGTAAAACTTCTAGAAGATAAGCGACGTGTTACGTTTGTATTCACCGTGAGTGGGTTACACTGTTTGAAATTTAGCTACCGTATGATTTTCATTCCACTTATTTGTCCGAAAATAGTCGCTGGAACTACGCGGCATGCTCACTTAAAAAGCTAAATTTCGAAGACCTTCGTAGATGATGAAGGCGGATCGAACGCAAGTGCTGGAATTAGTACAGTGTGTTATGTCCAGTTACGTGAAATAAACCAGAAAGATATATACCAGAGAACTATGCCAGGTTATCAAGCGTAGCCCAACAACATTGGAGTTACCATCGTATTACCGGGTTTCAAGGCGTGTGAGGATCGTTTGTAATTGAAGTTATGTTCTGATTCGACATTTCAACAGTGTAGCACAAGACATAATATTTCATGTGACTATTTACTAAAGCACAATGAAGATTGGCATGGAAAAGTATCACTATAGGAGGTATCGCCAAATCAATACAAAAGGTTTAGTTACATATAATAGAACGCAGCTACGGAGTAATGGCCGCATCAGATACCATGATTAAAATAAATGTTCTCCAACACAGAGCATGTGGAACGCAGAGTGGACTACATTGCTTTGCCACAAGTTTTAGAGGTCTAGAAACCGCGAAGGTAGGGATTAGCACTTTTTTACTTTCTGCCTATTATAATTTCGCGGCAGGGTACTAAGCGAAATACAACCACAACGTTGCTGAGATATTTGCAAAACTCTGGACCGCAGGTGTCTATGGTGGAGAACGAACGAGCTATTGTCCTTTCCGGGGAGTAACGCGTTCACCACCACACCATGCAGGTCCTTCGTTTCGCCTGTCTCTCAGCTATTTCTCTCGATCTTTGCCACAGCAATCACCCATCAGCGGGATTGATCTGGGGACGCGATCGATAGAAATAGCTGAGAGACAGGCGAAACCAAGGACCCGCATGGTGTGGTGGTAAACGTGTTAGTCCCCGGAAAAGACAATAGCGCGTTCGTTCCCCACCATAGACACCTGCGGTCCAGAGTTTGGAAATATCTCAGCAACGTTGTGTTCGACTAGAATGTCCAGCGAGAGCGATTATCGCCATGTTGAACATGCACCCGGTAGAAATTGAGAAATGTCCGTGGTTGCCTTCATGGACAACGTGTACAAAAACAAAATGTCTGCGTGGCTCTACTAAAAAGAGGTGCGAAATGGCACCGATGGAAACATAAGGTCTGACTGGAATCTCTACCAATAGCGATTATCCAGATGTTGAACAAGAACCCATAGAAATTGGAAATTGTCCGAAACGTTAATCCATTCCAGTATAAGCAAAAAGCGATTACTCTACGCGGGTCAAGTAAGGAACTATAAGAATAGACACCTATGTAAACATAATTTTCCATCGGAAGCGCCATCGACAGCGACTGCTGCACGATGGATTCGTCATGTTGATCTTCCAACTTAGACAGAGGTGACTGAAGCATTCGGAGATATTCATTCCATTCTGAGTGAATTTGCTATACGTAACCAAACAGTTTCTCGTGAACATCGTATTTGTGAGATTTCGGCGAAGACCAATCTTACCACAGTCTTTACTAAAGTTGGCAAGCATCGTTCCGCCTGGTCAATGGTGTTATAAGAACGATGTCATCAGCAAAGCGAAGACGGTGTAATCGCCACATATCGACTTTCACTCCCGTGTTGTCCTACCCCCATTTCGCATGACGTCCTCGTAGGTTCCGGTAAATAATTTTGGCGAGGTGGTATCGCTTTGCTTAACCCATCTTTTGACATCGATTTAAACGTTGTTATAGAATCGAGGTATCTTGACTGTGAATTTTTTATACAGCTTACGAAGAACCTTCATATACTCAGTACAGACACCCTGAGTTCCCAGGGCTTTCAAGAATGCTTCTAACTCATCTAAGTCAAAACCTTTCTTTAAAATAATGAAGGTAAGATGGAGTGGTATCTCGCACTCTCGCAAAACTTCAATGAGTCTTCCTATCATGTGGATTTATTCCAATATAGTGAATTCAATTTGGAATTATGTTTGCTCACATGGATGTCCCTTGTCCAGTGTTCTGTTAATACTGTTTAAGATGATTTCAGTGAGAAGTTTGTAGACGACAGACGCTAAGCAGGTCGGTCGATATTCGTCGTCATCACGAACGCCACCGTTCTTGGACACTAGCACGGTGCTGTTGGTCTTCCACTGATTAGAGACCTTGCATTCAGGCAGGTAACGTGTGACGAACCGAGCTAATGTATTTACGAGGACTGGCGAAGGTTTTTCAGGTGCTCTGGTCCTATCCTGTCCGAACCTGGTGCTGTTCGATTTTTCACTGACGAAATGGCATTTCGGATTTCGGAAGGGAGAACCGGTGCTACAGCATATCCACCCTCTATTTCACATGACGGGAGGTGGACGTGGCTATCGAAGAGATGTGAGTAGTATTCGTGAATGATTTTCTCCATCGCCTTTCTGGACGCTGTAACTGTTCCGTCTGGGCATGGGAGTGCAATAATCTTGGGCATGTAATTGGCGAAGCTTCGGTTAGCCTTGCGAATGCTCTTCCCAGCCTCTGCAGTTTCGACCATTACTGCTGCTCTTCTCTCTTCAATATCTTCTCTCACCCGCTGTCTGGATTGTTGTGCAGGTTCGGACGTTAGTTCGCGGTTGCCTGCGGCTCGTGTGATTCCACGCTGGCGTATCAGCTCGAGAGTTTCTGGAGACAGACGTCTCTTGGTGACTTTCGAACACAGCTTTCATAGTGCTAACGTGAAGATGTTGAGTGAGCTGAGCGCGTTCCTCGTCGGTGTAATCGGGGAACGGCATCTCCCCAGTAGTCAACTAACGAACTGAATAAATCCCAGTTTATGGTGGTTTCGGGACATCGTTTTTTGAATTTAGCAGCTTTTTCGCCTTTTCGCGAGATTCGAAACATTGCGCGAAAGAGGCGGTGGTCTAATCTTGTGTAGAATTTTGGGACAGCAGCGGCAGCAGTTAGGCAAAACCTTCGATTTAATGTGATCTGGTCTATTTTGGTATGGTACTCCCCACTGGGAGACTTCCACATCCAGCGTTAAGGGTGGTGTTCCTCGAATTGATTGCTAGTTATCATGAATGTTCATGGTCGTGATTACAAACTCAGGCAGTCGCTCACTATTCCCATTCCATTCTAATGCGTGGACCTCAATGTAACGCTCCTCAGACGTTCTTCTGTGCCCAATCTTAGCGTTCAAATCAAAGATTATGACTGTGAAGAATGTATGGTCTTCCCTGCAAAACTTCTCCAAGTCCATATAGAGCGCTTCGACTTCTTCTTCGTCATAGCTTCATGTCGGTGCTTAATCTACAACACGCCGAACCCAGTACGAAAACCTCCGTGGATGATGCATGCGAGCCCCAAATGAAAGAATTAGTGCGATCCACACAGTAAAACGTCGACTTATACGAAAATAAGAACAAAAACAAACGTTTGGAGATAAAATGTTCTGCATGAGGGTTTTCTTCCATCCTTTCAAACTTATGGGAGCTTATTTACATAGAATAATAAATCCTGTAGAAGACATAAAGTGGGACAATTAGTGAAACCACGGAAGGACACGAAAATGAGTATGATAAGGACTAGTGCGTTATCAAATGCTTTAAAGCTTGGTATTTTCAGAACAACTGTAGCGTGGTGTGCCATCACTTTCATTAAATGTCTTCATGCAATGAGGTTGAAACAAACTTGTTTACTTCTACTTTCTCTACACGTGATGTACATTGAGGTAAGCAATTTTTGTTTTATTCTTGTTTAGCACGGCCCGTGATCACATCTACCGTGCGGATCCCAGCACTTCTTGCATCTGATTTGTTTTCTTCGCATTCATCGTCCACACTGGTCTTCTAACAATTCGCGTTTTGTTCCGGCTGATGATTGTGGGATTTCGCCATGGATTTGGTTCGAATTCTGGTCAAATCTATCCTTCCTGCGATCTTGGATATTGCAGGAATAAGACGTTCCCACGTGGACTTGAGGGTAGCGTCGGGGATAGAGCTAAAGTTGCACCCTTGTTTCCTAATCTATCGCATCACCGGCCACTGCGCTACGGATACACCCTCCCCCTTTGGTTACAATTCCAACTTTTATTACAGTAAGCGATTGCCATGATGAAAGTTGAAACTGTAGTAAAAATTTGTCGAAATATTCATCACTGCCAACATAATTTCTTTCGCTCGTTAAATAGAAAGGAGGACAAAGAGTTTTGCGTTGCTTACCTCATTCCTTCGAAATTCGCCACGCATTTCGATCCATTCCTAACAAGGTTGGGGTAAATGAATATGTAGTTGGCTCATATGGTAACCTGAAAGAAACTATTGAATTCATGAATCAAGCCGGTCCTTAGTGTTTTCGTAAACAAATGTGTTACTGACTTGTCGACTTTGAGGGTTTGGAAGATTTGTTAACGGACAAAACACGAGATCGAACCCTTCACGACATGTGTATTGCAGGGGAACCCTAACCACAACGCTATATACCTTCCTTTTTCCTGAAAAACTAAAATATTTTAGCTTGATATCTCTGTAACCACCTTAGATTTGCATTCAAATAAGTTTTTTTCCTCAACTGTGAAGGTTTCAGAATTCGTTTCAGGCTCTTATAACTGCTCATTCAACAAAAGGTTAGTTCTTATACAACGATGATGCACTCATGTATTTTTTGCGAAACAAGTCGATCCGTACATAGCCTTCTTTTCCTTGATTAGTTTTTTTTCCATTTCACCCGACCCGTAAAAAATCTACTGTGCAGATCTCAGCACTTCTTCCACTCGTTTCATTCCTTGCAACCATCATCGGCAGAGGCTTTCAACTTTTCTTCAGTTGATTCGGTTGCTGCCTTTATGAATGTTTCTGAATGCTGACCAAGTCAATTATACCTCGACTCCTAAGATAGCCGGACTAGAGCGTTCATACCTGAATGTCCTTGAAGTTGGTCGTTCACAAATAAGTACGGTGCCAATTTTCCGACCCCGGAGGGATGGGAGTCCTGGTGAGCCCGGTGCAGGGTTGAACTATCACCATGTTCATGATCAACAGCATGACGGAACCAACGTGTCCAAGATCACATCCACTTGCAGTTAAGCGTAACAGGGCATGTATGCACAAGAACATTTACGTCCACAAAGAAACTATAGATTTATTCAACATCATTTTTAACGATGATATTTTTTTCATTCACCTAAAGATCACTGATCATAACCGTTGGAAAACCCTTTGCAAAACTTTGAGGTTCAGCATTGCTGATAACTACTGGAACATTGAAGAATTCAATAACGTTCACCGCTTCGCTGTTAACTCAGATCAAGGTGCCGTCGATTGCGTCTGTAGTACACCCATCAACGGCTACAACAATGCCACGAGGGATACCAAGGTCGCCACGAAAAGCGGCGCAACTGCTAGTATTTCCTCGAGGCAAAGTAAGATCTCTATCGGTAGGTAACAGAGTGCTACGAAGAGAGGCAGAAATGGCGCCATCAGACGTGACAACGTCGTCAACGTCCACAACAACCACGTCAACGTCCACAACAACCACGTCAACGTCCACAACAACCACGTCAACGTCCACAACAACCACGTCAGCGGACACGACAACGACGTCATGGTTTACAACAACGTCTTCAACAGTTCGAAAAGTATCACCAGTTCTGGACTCAGCTGGTACGTATAGTATGTTAATATTAGTTCATGACTTTCATTACCGTCATCAAAGTTATTTTCCTTAAGAAAACATGTGCCGTGAGAGAATAACATGCAGTTGAAATGGTATTTTTGAATATTGTTATAGTTTTGCAAAACAGTTCATCAGGGAGCGGCCCGTTACATCGAATACAAGGGACCATCCTTGTAGCAAACCATGTTTGTTTCAGAAAATTTGTGCAATAGTGTGAAAGTTTCCCAAAGTAAAGTTTCGAGAGATTCATTTGTTATCAGAATTGTTTCTTCCTTCTCTTTACGTAATATTGACATTTTTTGACAGTATCAGAAAATTATTGTTACAAAATATTCTTTTTAAAATTTATTATGTTCTAAGTAGTGGAAGAAGTGAAGTGAAGCGGGAATATAACTTCAATGGTGCTGAGATATTTGCAAAACTCCGGACCGCAGGTGTATGCGGTGAGGAACGAACGCGCTGTTGTCCTTTCCGGGGAGTAGCACGTTCACCACCACACCACGCGGGTCCTTCGTTTCGCCTGTCTCTCACTAGTTCTATCGATCTTTTGCCATCAGCAATCACCCGTCAGCGGGATTGATCTGGGGGGCCCAAATCGGCAACGAACCCAGTTAAGCTGAGGCCGCAGTTATATTCACAATTTTAACTTATTATTTACTGCCTACTCTTTTTAACGGCAGGGTATACATTGTGGAATATAATTTCAATGGTGCTGAGATATTCGTTTCGCCTGTAAGCTGAGAGACAGACGAAACGAAGGACCCGCGTGGTGTGGTGGTGAACGCGCTACTCCCCGGAAAGGACAATAGCGCGTTCGTTCCTCACCGCATACACCTGCGGTCCGGAGTTTTGCAGATATCTCAGCACCATTGAAGTTATAGTTCACAATCTATACCCTGCCGTTAAAAAGAGTAGGCAGTAAATAATAAGTTAAAATTGTGAAGCGGGAATATCGAAGGCTTTGACAAGTTTGCTAGGATCGAACATCATGAAATTCTGTCCGGACAAATAGAAGAAAAAAACTTATTTTTCTAGACGAATTACTGCGGCCAAATCAAGAAGATGAAGACAGCAGTCCGCCTTCCAATACTGTTAAGCAGTGAGTTCGCGGCCAAGCCTTCTCCTTTAGTGCTTAAACAATCCATTTTTTTCAATTGTTTGCTTACTTTGTTTCATAAATCATTTCCTGCATAACCTTCTTCTTAGGATCGTATTCATCTTTGTCCTTGTGATCATACTCCTAGCACTGATATACGCGTATATGTTTGACAAATTCTTGAAGGAGAAAGCGATGAAAAAAAGACGTAAGTTGCGTACTGTAGTCTTCAGCGATGATTTTTGAAAGAAGTTTTCAAATTTTTTTGATAACCTCTTAAAAGGATAATGCAATCGGCGTTGATCAATCTTGAGGGATGCTCCATGCGTTCAACTTCATTAGGTATTGTTTGGAGGTGATTGAATACATATCTGGTCTTTACAATAACTCGCGGTAGCCTACCGATGTATCGAGCCAATGGTGCTATCTTCCTAGACAAGTCTGGTGCCAATTTGCCGACCCCGGAGGGATGAAAGGCTTGGTGGGCCATGGGCGCGAGGATCGATTCCACGTCTGTGTCGCAGTGGCAGATAACCTCTTAAGAACTAAAAATGCAATCGAATATGACAAACGAAACTGTAAATTTCAATGATGCTGAGATAGTTGAAAAACTCCGGACCGTAGGTGTATGGAGTGGGGAACGAACGCGCTATTGTCCTTTCCGGGAAGTAACGTATTCACCACCACACCATGCGAGGGTCCTTAGTTTCGTCTGTTTCCCAGTTAATTTTATCGATCTCTGCCATCAGCAATCACCCATCAGCGGGTTTAATCTGGAGAGCCCAAATCGGCAATGAACCCAGTTAAGCTGAGGCTTTAGTTATAATCACAATCTTAACCGTTTTATTTACTGCCTACTCGTTTTAATGGCAGGGTATATTGCGAAATATAACTTCAGTGATGCTGAGATATATATTGAAACGAAGGACCTGCATAGTGTGGTGGTGAATGCGTTACCCCCGGAAAGGACAATAGCGCGTTCGTTCCCCACCGCATACACCTACAACCGATTTTTAACAGACCTTGCTAACAATACTGGGAAATTTTCCACATAAATGAGGCAACATGAAGTTTGTATGAAAACTTTTGTTTGCCTAATGTTTCGGCGCCTTCGTCTTCTTCAGAGCACTGCTGATCCGAGTCGATTGTCCACAGCTGGTCGTTCTCGCGATGTGGGTGTTCGTTATTGTACCGGTTCAAATCCAGTGGAGGGACCACCTCTTGGATGGGTAACATTACTGGGCAGTGTCCTTTTACACAGGACGGGTTTTGATCAATTTGCAACCTTAATATAAAATTTTAAAATTTGTATTAGTTTGATTGGGCTGTACGTTTTGTAGTAGTTGGAGTAACAGATTTAAGATATCGGCACGGCTCAGCAAATGAAGATTCTTTATCTAATCGGCGCTCCCTCGACTAAATTCGACTAGATGCGACAATGAACACCCACATGGGACAAGAACCAGCTTTGGACCATCGACTTGGATCAACGCATCTCTGAGGAAGGCGAGGGCGCCGAAACGTTTGCCGAATAAAAGTTTGCACAACCTCGTGTTAGCTCAATCATCTAGAAAGTTATTGCAAATGTTCACTTCTACCCTACGATGGGGTTTACGATCTTCGGAATATAAAGATGAAATATTCAGTTTGCCAATTGTAACCCTGTGGACTGGTAGCAAAGTGATCAAATCAGATCAATAACAATCAGTAATCTACCGTAATGCATGTGCAGTGTTCCATGGTTATCAATAAGCGATGGAAGTAAGGTATAGTGATTATATGGCTCAAGTTTCCAGTGAGCTTCTTTCGCATTTCTCATGGTAATATCACTAGGCGGAGCGGAAAAAGAACGCGTTGAAATTCCGAACATAACAGAAAGAGAAGGAGTTACATATTGGCTTATATAGAATACTGTAATCGGCCATAAGAAGAACTAATGCGAAGGAGCAGCAGTGGAGGATGGAAAGACATATTTAAATTGTTCAGCTTACACGAAGTTGATAAATAGATTTTCCTGCTAACGTTTCGACGTCTTCGTCTTTATCAGAGCCGTAGATCCCATTCGTCCACAGTCGTTGGTATTCTCTGTGTGGCATCTTCGTCTTCGTATTAGTCGGATCTTCCTCAATCGTGTATCTCTCGAATGAGGCGTACTAACCCACCGTGCGTAAAAGAGCAGGAGCGAGTGAGTATGCCTCATTCGAGAGGAGCTTCACTGAGGAAGATCCGACTGATACGAAGGCAAAGGCGTCACATCGAGAAAACAAACAGCTGTTGACCAAGCGACTCAGATCATCGGCTGTGATGAAAACGAAGACGTCGAAACGGTAGCCGAATAAATCTGTTTGTCAACCTCGTGTAAGTTCAACAATTTAAGGTGTATTGATCTTTTGCCACTAAATGACAGTCGGTCTCCTATCTATTGTTGAGAAGACAGTTTGGATACTGCAATACTCACTGATCAGTGATGAAAGACTTGTAAGCTCTGGATTCTGATTTGACACTCAGTGCGGAGTCTCCTTTAGAAGAGCGGCTATGATGAGGAATTAAAATTAAACGTGAGATGTCAATACACAACGAGATGCAGAGGGTCATCATGCACAATGCATCTTCACCCACTTCTTGTCTAATTTTTCGTTCCAGCGTTGTTGTTTTCGGTTTCCCTGAATTCTAGTTTCGTTTAGAAAAAAATTAAAGGTCTTCGTTTTCATCACAGCCGATGATCTGAGTCGCTTGGTCAACAGCTCGAAATTGATTTACCAATAAATGGCTCGTAAAAATAGTTATAGGATTGCTGACAAGGATAAAATTTACGTCGTCGAAATATTTTTTTCAGAAAGAATCATTAAAGAGCGACAGATTCGGCGGGCAACGAGGAATAGCGCTGTTGGTTTTGATTTCGTTCCTACTGACTCCACGGTTTTTGAAATGATTAGTAGTAACAACTGCTTATCACAACGGAGAAAGGGTTTTGTGAGAAAGGGTTTGGTGAATTTCCTTGAAAATTAAGAGGCCTCTCAATAAAATTTATTCCCACTTAGAAGATTTTCGATGGCGAATCTAAAACTAACAGAAATATTAAGAGTTTTTATGAGTCTGTGGAGTGTTGGTATCGCAGTACAACTTGTCTTTCACCCTGAATGAAGATAGAGCAACATACGAATATGTCATTCACACCCATCAAACGTCTACATACTAGTGCCAAGTGATTTTTGCTTTCGAGGATTTTGTAATAGTGTGGAAGAACTTCATCACCACTTCTTCACAGTAAATATTTGATCAGTTGTTCTCTATCTCGCTGGCAGCAGTGTTGCTTTGGCTTCAGTTGCTAGTGTTTATATCTCTTCCTCTCCATTCTAAAGAATGATCAAGAGTTTCATTGCTCTGAAAATGGCAGTATAATCAGTGACGTGGATTATGGAATCCCAGCTCTCTTTTCATTCGATTCATTACTTCGTTACTTCGCATTTGTTATTGTCAAAGGTCATCGGATTTACCAGCGATTTCGCTAATATTTGTGTATTCTTCTTCTTCATTAAAGTCATCAAATGTCAGATCTGATTCTTTCTAATATGACTGGGGCCGTCCCATGCACAGCCGAAGCGACGACTATGCGTTTAATTATATGAGGTGACTCTAACCACTGGGCTTCAAGGGCATCCCGTCCGAGACAACATTTGTAACTTGAAGATCTCGCTTTCTATTTTGCTCGATAACTTTAAGGATAACAAAGTTAATACCTACACATCTTTTTGTGAAATCTCTTTAAAGCTATCCGAAAATTGCGTCTTTTCAGGAAGACAGGAAAGGAAAGCAAAAGTCTATTGTATTTTTTAACACTCAGGCTAAGGAAGTCGAGGTATTTGCAATTATTCAGACATTCCGTGCTCCTAGTTTCTAAGGAAAGAATGGCTAAATTGAGCTGTGTACAATCTTTTGAAAGGATTTCATTTCTTGCAATTCGCTGTTAACTGAACCTTTACTAAAACTGTCCTGTCCGTTCTAACGCAGGGGTCGTCTCGTAGTGGGAATAACGTTCCGCACGCTGTTCTCAGAATGAAAACATCTTTTTTTTAAATAATTATATTTGGAGGAAAAGTCGTTAGGAGTCCGTTGCGTTGAATCCAGAAAAGAATTCACCCAACCATAGTTTTAGAAGACGTTCACCTGATAACAGTAATTGTTTGCTTTTTAGTTAAACCTTCTCTGAGTATGAGGATGAAAATGGCACAACTGTTGTCTATAACCGGAATGATGCTAAGATATTTGCAAAATTCCGGACTGCAGATGTCTGCGGTGGGGGTCGAAAACGCTATTGCCCTTTCTGGGTGCTAACGCGCTTACCACCACACTTTGCCGGTTCTTCGTTTCGACTTCCTCTCGGCCGTATTTTGTAGATACTACCAGCAGTAACCCGTCAACGGCATTGATCTGAGAACTACAAATCGGCGTTGAACCCAGTTAAGCTGAAGCTGTAGTCCAAGCTACAATCTAATCACTTTTTATTATTAGCACCTATAAAACACGGCTGAGAAGAAGGCGAAACGAGGAACTCGTATGGCGTGGTGGTGAACGCCTTAGCTACCGGAAAGGGTAATACCATGTTCGATCCCCACCGCAGAGACCTGCGGTTCGGAGTTTTGCAAATATCTCATCATCATTGTGGTTATATTTCAAATCGTACCCTGCCTTAAAAACAATAGGCAGTACGTAGCTAAAAAGCGATAATATTGCTGCCTAAATTTGGGGAACTCTTTTGGTACCTCGATCAGCACTCTACGTCATAGTTCGGTAGCCAGGAGCACTGCTTCTTAAGGAAAACTTAGTGAAGTCATTGGTGGATGCAAGATATTAGTATATATTGAAAACTGTCCACTATAGCTCTTGCATCCTTAAGTATAGCATTTCTTACTGCTGGAAAGTAGGAAGTAAATCCCTTTTTTCTGTGAGCAGTCAGTCAGAAGTTGTTGTTGGATTGATTGTTCATAATACCGACGTCGTTCTCATTCCGCATAATTCGCCCAAGTTTTCAGGGTGAGTCCGGATCTGAATTCTTTTCCGGTCTCAGAGTACGTGAAGTGGTGTGTCGAGCGTGAGCAGAAGTACCCAACTGTAAACAATAATGAGGTGTCTTGAAAAAAGAAATGCTTAAGTCTTAAACTTTTAATAGAAGTGCCAACTGTAATCAGTAATTTGTGCGAGTCTTCTATGACAATGATTGTCTAGTAAGTTACAGAACTTATATGTCAACTAAAGTATTTTGTCTAAAGCTTTTAGTCTTTCTAGGTATAATGTAGGGCAGCTGTGTGAGACGATTTATAAGAAAAGTGTAGTAAAATTTATGACAGCTATCACTTCTGACAAGGTCGTTTAGGCATTTAAGAGGAAGAGAACCTTTTATAAAAACACTAAAAACCAAGGAAAATTGCTCTTTGAGCACTTTCTTCTTTGTCGGATAATGTTTTGGAAAGCACCTTATAAAGGATAAAGTTCTCGGCGTTGATGCTCCTGAGGGATGCGCCATACATTCGGCTTCATTAAGTATTGTTTGGAAGTGATCGAATGCAAATCTGGGCTTTACAATGACTCGCGGTGGCCTACCGATGTATCGAGCCAGTGCTCCTATCCTCCCAGACAAGTCTAGTACAAGTTTGCCGACCCCGGAAGGATCGAAAGCTTGGTGGGCCGTGGGCGCGGGGATGAATTACGTTGCACGGCGCCCCGACCACTGCGCCCGGAAAGTGTCGTATGAATGTATGATTCGAAGGAAGCTTTCTTATTTGTTTAACATCATAGATTGTGAAGAGAACAGACTGAAGAGCTGTTAGGTTAGAATCAGAGCTGTGGTTAACAAGTGGTTAAATGAAATGTGAATCTAAGCTCTGCTATTTTCCGGGCCCGACATTTCATTTGCGTATAGCCCACAACCGACGAGCGGCGTTTAGCGAGGCCAGCTTAGTGGAATGTCAGAAAAATTTCGCCGTCAGTGGATTTTCCGGTTTTCTTTTTGACAATAAAAAATAATCTTTCGAGAACCTGAAAACGTGAGAGGCTGGGAACATGACAGATTTGTAAAAGAAACATTGCAGTTTCCAAAACTACGATTATAGCAATCAGTCGGCCACCGATCGAGTACGGTGTTAAAGGGGACCTGTTCGAAAGTGTTTACGTCTACGTTTTCTTGCTCGTCTTCTTGCTTACGTTCGTTTACGTTTTTACGCTTAAAGGTCACATTT